GAGTACAGTGAGTACAGTGAGTACAGTGAGTACAGTGAGTACAGAGAGTACAGTGAGTACAGAGAGTACAGTGAGTACAGTGAGTACAGTGAGTACAGAGAGTACAGTGAGTACAGTGAGTACAGTGAGTACAGAGAGTACAGTGAGTACAGTGAGTACAGTGAGTACAGTGAGTACAGAGAGTACAGTGAGTACAGAGTGAGTACAGTGAGTACAGTGAGTACAGTGAGTACAGTGAGTACAGTGAGTACAGTGAGTACAGTGAGTACAGTGAGTACAGTGAGTACAGTGAGTACAGGACATGTCAGTACAGTCACATACTGTTTGTGTTTGGATCATTTTTAAGCAGCTTTTCTGTATTTTACCTGAACAGATGCCAATTTATGCCTCTCTTTAATATGACCGCACTTGAACTGGTTTGATATTGGATAAATGACACATTCAAAGACATTTAACTTGTAAAACATATCACAGATTTTTTTCTAACAACTTGTGACGTCTTCATAATCATCCAGGGTAAATATCACAAGACAGTAAATAAAAACACTGATCACTGTCCATTGTTGATTTTTCTTTCTTTATCAGAGACGTACCAACTATTTTTCTCCCTTTTCCTCTAATCAGAACATGTGGTGTTTATTATGTCTGCTGCTACTGTTACTACTACTACCAAAACTACTACTACTACTACTTCTACTACTACTACTACTACTGCTATTACTACTACTTAAAGTGACCAGACGTCTCTATTTCCCAGGACAGTCCCAGTTTTGAGCCTGTGTCCCCAAAACCAGAAATTTGTCCCAGTTTTATACAAGAAATGTCCCAGGTGTTCCTGTTTTTGACTGAGGTTGAACTGGTTTGATATCGGACATTGGATATTCAACACATTCACAGACATTTAACTTGTAAAACATATCACAGATTTGATGATAAAGACACCACAAGTTGTTTGTAAAAGAATGTGAAAAGTATTACAAGTGAAATGTCTTTGAAAGTGTCAAATATCCAACATATTAAAGGTCCTAAATGACACAAAACTGACTCTTGTGAGCTTTAAGTCCTGTTAAAATGTTGTTTCTTTCTCAAAAACACGATCTGGAGTTATGTTTTGTTTCATTCACACTGTATTATGAGTCTGTCTACAAATCTAAATCACCACGTTGAATTGATTTGATATTGGATATTGGAAATTTGATGCATTCAAAGACATTTAACTTGTGATGTAAATCAATGACTAGTGTTGGGGAGTAACAGATTACATGTACCAGAGTTATGTAATCAGAGTACAGATTATGAGTAACTGTATTCAGTTACAGTTACTGTTTCAGTGAGTGGTAATTGGATTACAGTTACTTTGTTGAAGTAGATGGATTACACGGAGGTACTTTCTTGTTTTCATATTTTGAGCTATATCCCCCCCTTTTTTGTGTGTGTGTGTTTTTTTCAGTAATTCCATTCATCGCCGGACACTAAACCAGGACTAAAACCAGGTCTAAACCAGGACTAAAACCAGGACTAAAACCAGGACTAAAACCAGGACTAAAACCAGGTCTAAACCAGGTCTAAACCAGGACTAAACCAGGACTAAACCAGGACTAAAACCAGGTCTAAACCAGGACTAAACCAGGACTAAAACCAGGTCTTAACCAGAACTAAACCAGGACTAAAACCAGGACTAAACCAGGACTAAAATCAGGTCTAAACCAGGACTAAAATGGAATTGAACTAAACCATGCTGTGTGTCTCGTCCTCTTCTATCAATAATATTTTTAATAAAGTCTGGACTTTTTATTTTCCTTTTATCAGACAAAACTTCTTATGTTACGATTTCCTCATCTTTGTTTCTCTACAGCAAATCAAGTAATGCAAAGTATTCAGATTACATTACTCACTTTAAGTAATTAAAGTGTGTGTAATCTGTAATATGTAGGGGATTACATTTTAAAAGTAAACTTCCCAACACTGTCAATGATTCTTTTCAAACAACTTGTGGCATTTTCATCATCATCCAGGGTAAATATCACAAGACACTAATTATTAAAAATCATACTATGAGCTGATTTAGTGCAAATTTGTGAATTCAAAACTCATTTAACTGTACAAATGTGGACAAAATAGTTGGTGTAAGGAAAGAAAAATCAACAAATGAATAGAATAGAAAGCCTTTATTGTCTTTATACAGTATAATGACATTTAGAGCTGCTCCGTCAAAGTAAAAGAATTAATAGTAAATAAAACAAATGAACAGTTCTCATCTCAACGGTCAGTGGTCAGTGTTTTTTTAATAATTCCTGTCCTGTGATTTTTACCCTGGATGATGATGAAAACGTCACAAGTTGTTTGAAAAGAATCAGTGACATGTTTTACAAATTAAATAATAAAGTGTGAATGAAACAAACCACAAGTCCAGGTCGTCTTTTTAAGAAACAAACAACTTTATAACACGACTTAAAGCTCACGAGAGTCAAATACAAAGTAGAAAAAAAAAACAGAGACACTCAAAAAGTACAAAATAATAACAAATGACAGATAAAGTTAAAATATTTTGTACTTTTTGAGCATCTGTTCTTTCTCATTTGTATTTGAGACTGGTCCCTACACTGAAAAGCACCAAAAAAGAACAATTCTGCACAATTTTTTGTAAATCCAAACCCCAAAAGTCTCACAAGAGTCAATTACGACTTTTAAAAATGCAAAAATAGGGACAACTGGGACATTTCTTGTAAAAAAAAAAAAAAAAATGGGACAAATCAGTGGTTTTGGGGAGACAGGGCTCAAAAGTGGGACTGTCCCGGGTAAATAGAGACGTCTGGTCACTCTAAGAAGAAGTAGTAGTAGTAGTAGTAGTAGTAGTAGTAGTAGTAGTAGTACTGCTGAAAGGAAAAAGGGGGAAAGTGAGAGTAAAAGTAAAAAAAATACCTTGTACTTGCAGTAGAAGTATTTGAAGTAATGCAATCGTGTGTAGAAGCAATAATCCGAGTCTAGTCTTGGTCTTTGCAGGGACTTACTTGCGGTCGATTCCCAGGTCTTGGTCCAGTTTGAGTCCTGGTCGAGTCCCGGTTGAGTCCTGGACTTGGGTGCAGCCGATAGTTGCTCTGGGTTTCTGGGGGCGGAGGCTGAAGATAAGGAAAGGAAAAAAAAACACAAACTAGGAGGAGTTTACAGGAAAATAAACAAAGACAGAGATAAGTTAGACCTGGTTTAGATCAGTTTAGAGTCTTTCAAACTGGTTCAAGATCCAAAAAAAAAAAAAAAAAAAAAGAGAAAATGTGGTGCAAACTTTTACAACAAAAACTCTGAAATGAGACTAAGCCAGGATTAAATCTAAAATACAAGTCAGAACCATTTTTTACTACCACGTTTCAAAGTCCAGTGAAAATGCAACTTATAAAACACCAATCATTGACCGAGATTCATGGTGAAGATATAAAATGATGAAAAAAAAAAACACGCTACACCGCCCCCTGGTGGTTTATTCCAAAACACGGATGATTAAGAAGAAGAGGAGCAGAAAAGCAGAGGAAAGGGTCAGAGGAGCAGAAGTGAGGGTTAGAGGAGAGAGAGGGTCAGAGAAGAGGAGCAGAAGAACAGAGGAACAGAGAAGGTCAGGAGAGCAGAAGAAAGTATCAGAGGAGCAGAGAAGAAAGTCAGAGGAGCTGAGGAGCAGAGCAAAGGGTCAGAGGAGAAGAAAAAAGGGTCAGAGGAAGAGGAACAGAGGAGAATGTGAGAGGAGACATTAAACCAAACTTATTACTTCAACTCTTTATTAAAAATATCTTGCATCAAAGTCATTCATTTCTTCTCACAAACTTTACGGCGATCACCTCCGTACGATCATCTCTGTAATTCTACAAAAATATCCTTTTTCTGCTCCACATTCGAACTACTCTTGAAAAAAAAACAAAAAACAACAACAATCATAACTCAAATAATAAACATGAATCATAAAAGAATAAACGTCTCGTCTGCTGAAACCTGGCAGCCGCTTTCAATCCAGCTCTTCTCCGATCGCTTCAGTTGTCAATAAATAAAGAAACCAAAAGAAATTTATCTGCCCGTTCTCTTTTGAGTCCTGATGGGTCTAGTCCTGGTTTAGACCCGGATCCAGTCTCTAGTTCTGATTTAGTCCTTGGTCTTGGTTTAGATCTGCCGTGTCCAGGTTTAGTCCCAGGTTTAGTTCGAGATCAAGACTCTAATCCTGGTTTAGTTCATGTTTAAGACCTGATTTAGTCCTTGGTCTTGGTTCAGATCTGCCGTGTCCAGGTTTAAATTTTTGGATTAGTCCCAGGTTTTGTCCCCAGATTAAGTCCCCGGGATAAATCCCCGGTTTAATCCAGAATCGAGACTCCAATCCTGGTTTAGTTCGTGTTTACAATCTGATTTAGTCCTCGGTCTTGATTTAGACCTGCCGTGTCCTGGTTTAGTCCCTGATTTAGTCCAAGAACAAAACTCAAACTTTAACTAAACTAGAATTAAAGATTTGATTTAGTCCTTGGTCTTGGTTCAGATCTGCTGTGTCCTGGTTCAGTCCAGGTTCGAGACTCTAATCCTGGTTTTGGTTCATGTTTAAGATCTGATTTAGTCCTTGGTCTTGACTTAGACCTGCCATGTCCTGGTTTAGTCCCCGATTTAGTCCTGGATTGAGACTCAAACTTGAATTAAACCAGGATTAAAAATCTGATTTAGTCCTTGGTCTTGACTTAAATTTGCCATGTCCAGGTTCAGTCCCTGGTTTAGTCCGAGATCAAGTCTCTAATCCTGGTTTAGTTCATGTTTACAATCTGATTTATTAATTGGTTTAGTCCCTGGTCTAGTCCAGGATTGAGACTCAAACATGAACTAAACCAGGATTAAAGATCTGATTTAGTCCTTGGTCTTGACTTAGACCTGCCATGTCCTGGTTTAGTCTCCAGTTTAGGCCAAAATCGAGACTCCAATCCTGGTTTAGTTCATGTTTTAGATCTGATTTAGTCCTTGGTCTTGGTTCAGATCTGCTGTGTCCAGGTTTAGTCCCAGGTTTTGTCTTTATATTAGTGAAGTCTTGTAGAACGGGACTAAACCCATCGTAACGTGACCTCATCTCTCGTATTTTATTTCAAACCCAGTTCTGACTTTAATTTGAACGTCTTTGCTTCTTTTTCATTGGTCGAGTCTTGAGTCCTCCGCTCTGATTGGCTCTCTGGATTTCTCGTGGCTCTTTCTCAGCTCCCATTGGCTAAAGTCAGTTGTGTGACATTTGGATCAAAAACATTCACAGAAGAGTTTACTCGGAAATAATAAAGCTGTTAAAGCTGCACACTGGAACATTTCTGGTGGACGACCGCTACCTGCTTGATTTCATGGAGAGGCTTCTGCTTTGCCTAAAATGTTCCACAAACCTGGGAATTTGCAAATTACCGGCCCACCTCTGTGTCAATGTAAACGAAATCCGTAAATGACTCTATTTTACCGACAATGATTGAGATTGAAAGAGAAAAGAAAGTGGAAAGAAAAGAAAGAGATAACGTTACAACAACAAACACCGAGACGAAGATTCGCTCAGGACTCGTCTTATCACTGGACGTTTGTGTTTGGAGAAATATCTTAGGTAATTTGCGGCGGAATTTTCGATTTACAAATTTACAGACATGGCAAATTTGCACAGGATTAAGATCTCAGGTGTCCTCCACAGTTATTAAAAATCACCAAACGTCCACAGGTAAAACTAACCCCGTGCAAAGAGGGCTTTAAGAGTTTAAGTCAAAATTCTGCCACAAATTACCGACTGTATTTCGTGTGCAAATCTGCGTCTCAGTGTTTGTTGTTGTATTTATTCCTTTTTATCTCTTTCTTTCCCATTTTATTTTCTGTCAGTGTCAATAATAGAGAGTAATTTACAAACTGCCCGTGCGAATGTGCTGCAAGTAAGACAGAGTTGAGGCGGTAATTTGCAAATTCCCAAACATCCCCAGGTTGGATTTATCCTGTGTGAAATGACTCAATTAAATGACTCATTTTACTGACATAGACTGAGATGTAAAGAGAAAAGAATGCGTAAAGAAAAGAAAGAGACAGAAAAGATGCAACACACAACAACAACAAACACTGAGATGCAGATTCACACGGGACTCTTATTATCACTGGACATTTGCTTTTGGCGAAATATTGTAGGTAATTTGTGGCAGAATTTTTGCTTCACGAATTAGGTGAATTCAGATTCAGATTAAGATCTCAAAAATCCTCCACAACTATTACAAAAAAAATAAAAAATCACCAAACATCCACAGGTAAAACTAATCCCGTGTGAAGAGGGCTTTAAGAATTTAAGTAAAAAGTCTGCAGCAAATGACCAAATATATTTCATCAAACACAGAAATCCAGTGAGAAAAAATAGCCCTGTGTGATTCTGCCTCTCAGTTAAGTCTGCGTAGTTAATCGAATTTTCATCGCGATTTCGATTTGTGTGTCAAACGATCTCCAAACTCATATCATTGAGTTGAAACAAAAACTTAAAGTATATTTTATGATATATACATTTTTTTATAAATAAGTGTATTTATTTTAGTTTTTAAATAGAGATTGTAGAACAACTGGATATATGGTTTATTTTGGATACATTTGCGTTTTTCTATGCCTTATTTCATGTTCAAAGTTTATTTTATGAGTTTTATACAACGCAAAACTGCTCTAAGGTTCATATTTGTAGCCTAGATTTATTTTAAATTATCAAAAACAAAGTGGGTTTTTTGAGAGAGAAATGCTGAATAAAAGCATCGAGTAACTAAAAAACAATCGTGTTAATGATTTTTTTTCCATAATCGAGCAGCTTTAATCTCAGTGTTTGTTGTTGTAATCGCTTCTTTTCTTTCCGTGTTTTTTTCTCTTTCAGTCTCAGTCAACATCAGCAAAACGGAGTAATTTACGAACTTCGCTGATCCCGCAGTAACACAGAGGTGGTAACAGACATTCCCAGGCTGCACTCATCCCGAGCGAATAAGCCTTTACCGACACGGAACATTGGCACGGGATTAAGATCTCAGGCATCCTCTGTAACTGTTACAAAACACCAAACGTCCACAGGTAAAACTTAATCCTGTACGAAAAGGGCTTAAGACGATAAAGTGATCTCTCTAACTTTCATTCAATTTCAGGCTGACAAACAATTATTATGATTACGTCAAGCCATGATGTGGAAAATTCCGGGCAAATTAACTTTCTCCCCGTGTGTGTATCTAAAATCTGCCTCATCGTCAGTGTCTGTTGGGTTAAAGACACATTGTGAAACTTTTCCAAATGAAGCGTCAGCCACTTTGTCATTTATTTAGCTCAGATTTAGACAAAAAAACATTAATTCTTCACGTAAACGGTCTCTCTCAATGACCTGGACCTGTAACTTGACCTAGAAGCCTTCAGAAAAGTTCCATAATGCAGCTTTAAACTCGTCAGAAGCGGTGAACGGACCAGACGCGCTCATTTGCACTTGGCGGAGTTTAAGTTACGGCACTATTGCTGCGTCAAACAGTCTTTCGTCGACGTTTATTCAAAAGTCTCATCTCATTGGTTGCGCGGCGACCCCGGTCCCGCCCCCTCGCTCCTATTGGCTGAGGACGAGCTGGCGCAGGTACGACTGGGTGAGCCCCCTCAGCTCCTCCAGCGTGTAGTCTTCGGGCATGGGCAGGCGGCTGATGTGCGGCGCCACGTGGACCAGGGGGGCGCCGCCTTCCGGAGAGTCGCCGAGCTGCAGCGACACCACCACGCGCAGGATGTTCGCCAGACGCTTCGCCATCTCTGACAAAAACACAGCAAGGAGGTTGCGGGTTAGACTCCTGAGCTCTGAGCGGGGAGCGTGTCGCTGTGGAGGGTCGTGTGACTGTGTTCTCTGACCTGATTGGGCGAGGCGGTCCTTGGCGCAGAAGCACTGCAGTAGTTCGATTCTCCCGCACAGAGACGTGACATCGGTGTAGAGACGCTCCAGCTCGTACCCGCTGTCGCCCCCTTCAGACTGAAACGGGACAGAGGTTTGAGAGGAGTCATGGAAAAGTTTGTCAAAAACGCTGTAAAACATTAACAATAAGGATGTAACGATATCCAAATCTCTCGGTGTGATATTTTATGGAGATTAACAAAACTGAATATGTCACTTTTTCTTCTTAAAATGCCTTGACAAGATTTACTCCAAAGAACTAAGACTTAAAAATCTGTGTATCATTTGTTCATTCGTTTTTCAAAATAAATCCAAAAATAAGAAAATGAAAAAACAACAATTTTCTTCATTATTTGTCTCCAAAACCAAAACGAAAAAACGGATAATGGCCGTTTCCCGTTTCCGTGGCTTAAACTGCGATGCTGGACTGAACCAGGACTAGACCGGTCCCCAGTCCCCGGTCCCCGGTCCCCGGTCTAGTCCTGATTCAGTCTGTGATCCGTTTTTTCCACTACTTTGTACTTCTACTTGAGTAATTCTGTTTTGAAGTAACGTTACTCTTACTTGTCAGGAGCCTAGAGCTAAGAAAAGTCACAAAGTCGTCCCTCCGACTGATCGATCAGTTTGATTTGTCTCTAATTTGAATCATTAAAATTAATAACAGCCCGAACTTTAACAATACAGACTTCTAATTAGAGCCATTTAACATAAACAAAGTCTTGCGTCTGCTCCAAACCACATGCTCTGTAGATGTCTCCCTTAAAAACAACAGAGCGATCACTGACTGACTTTAGACTGACTGGAACCAGATTAAACTTGACTGAGCGCCACCTGCTGGATGTGCTGCAGAGTCTTCAGGACCCGGATGTAGTCCAGGAACAGTCTCCCGGAGGAGTCCCAGTCCTGGATCACGGCGCTGCGTTCAGGGACACTGAGGCCCTCCAGGAACTCGAGCAGGAAGTCCAGGTTATCGTTGATGATGCAGTCTGAGCAGAGACACGCAGGTGAGAAAAATGACAGTTGCATCGACTCTACACGGGCATTGATTTGAAGGCTTCAGTTTGTTTATAGACGCCTGGATGAGAACTTTACCACTCAAAACACAGAATATGACATGAAGAGTTAATCCTTCCTTACCAGAGGCGAGGTGGCGGGTGAGGGTGCGGTGGCACTGGCTCCACTCCCCTGCCCTGTACAGGTGCAGCGCCTGCCGCCGGGTGTCGTTGAGGCTCTTGGCCCTCAGAGCTTTGGCCTGATGGATCCACGACTCTGGGATCAACAGAGTCTGGGTCAGGAAGTGCTCCCGCCGCAGTGACTCCTCTGTGTCCTCCAGGGGGCAGTGCAGCTGCAGCATCAGACGCACGGCACGCTCCCGCTCACTGAACAAGACACACGGTTACACTCAATGTGCAGTAGTAGTACCCATGATGGCGTATATGAAGTAGTAGTAGTAATAGTACCTGGGATTGCGTACATATAGTAGTAGTAGTAGTAGTATTACCTGGGATGGTGTAGTAGTAGTAGTAGTAGTAGTACCTTGGATTGTGTATATGTAGTAGTATATGTAGTAGTAGTATATGTAGTAGTAGTAGTAGTAGTAGTACCTGGGATTGTGTATATGTATATGTATATGTAGTAGTAGTAGTACCTGTGATGGTGTATATACATGTACATGTATATGTATTAGTAGTAGTAGTAGTAGTAGTAGTAGTAGTACTAGTAGTAGTAGTAGTAGTAGTAGTAGTAGTAGTAGTAGTAGTAGTAGTAGTAGTAGTAGTAGTAGTAGTAGTAGTAGTAGTAGTTGGGATTGCATATATGTATATGTATATGTATTAGTATTAGTAGTAGTAGTACCTGGGGTTGTGTATGTATATGTATATGTAGTATTAGTAGTAGTATATGTAGTAGTACCTGGGGTTGTGTATGTATATGTAGTATTAGTAGTAGTATATGTAGTAGTACCTGGGGTTGTGTATGTATATGTATATGTAGTAGTAGTAGTAGTATATGTGGTAGTAGTAGTAGTAGTAGTAGTATATGTAGTAGTACCTGGGGTTGTATATGTATATGTATATGTAGTAGTAGTAGTATATGTAGTAGTACCTGGGGTTGTGTATGTATATGTATATGTATATGTAGTAGTAGTAGTAGTATATGTGGTAGTAGTAGTAGTAGTAGTATATGTAGCAGTACCTGGGGTTGTGTATGTATATGTATATGTATATGTAGTAGTAGTATATGTAGTAGTACCTGGGGTTGTGTATGTATATGTATATGTATATGTAGTAGTATATGTAGTAGTACCTGGGGTTGTGTATGTATATGTATATGTATATGTAGTAGTAGTATATGTAGTAGTACCTGGGGTTGTGTATGTATATGTATATGTAGTATTAGTAGTAGTATATGCAGTAGTACCTGGGGTTGTGTATGTATATGTAGTAGTAGTAGTAGTAGTATATGTAGTAGTACCTGGGGTTGTGTATGTATATGTATATGTATATGTAGTAGTACCTGGGGTTGTGTATGTATATGTATATGTAGTATTAGTAGTAGTATAATGTAGTAGTACCTGGGGTTGTGTATGTATATGTAGTATATGTATATATGTAGTAGTAGTAGTATATGTAGTAGTACCTGGGGTTGTGTATGTATATGTATATGTATATGTAGTAGTAGTAGTAGTATATGTGGTAGTAGTAGTAGTAGTAGTATATGTAGTAGTACCTGGGGTTGTGTATGTATATGTATATGTATATGTAGTAGTAGTATATGTAGTAGTACCTGGGGTTGTGTATGTATATGTATATGTATATGTAGTAGTATATGTAGTAGTACCTGGGGTTGTGTATGTATATGTATATGTATTAGTAGTAGTATATGTAGTAGTACCTGGGGTTGTGTATGTATATGTATATGTAGTATTAGTAGTAGTATATGCAGTAGTACCTGGGGTTGTGTATGTATATGTAGTAGTAGTAGTAGTAGTATATGTAGTAGTACCTGGGGTTGTGTATGTATATGTATATGTAGTAGTACCTGGGGTTGTGTATGTATATGTATGTATGTAGTATAGTAGTAGTATATGTAGTAGTACCTGGGGTTGTGTATGTATATGTATATGTATATGTAGTAGTAGTAGTATATGTAGTAGTACCTGGGGTTGTGTATGTATATGTATATGTAGTAGTAGTAGTATATGTAGTAGTACCTGGGGTTGTGTATGTATATGTATATGTATATGTAGTAGTAGTATATGTAGTAGTACCTGGGGTTGTGTATGTATATGTATATGTAGTATTAGTAGTAGTATATGTAGTAGTACCTGGGGTTGTGTATGTATATGTATATGTATATGTATATGTAGTAGTAGTAGTATATGTAGTAGTACCTGGGGTTGTGTATGTATATGTATATGTATATGTAGTAGTAGTATATGTAGTAGTACCTGGGGTTGTGTATGTATATGTATATGTATATGTATATGTAGTAGTAGTAGTATATGTAGTAGTACCTGGGGTTGTGTATGTATATGTATATGTATATGTATATGTAGTAGTAGTATATGTAGTAGTACCTGGGGTTGTGTATGTATATGTATATGTATATGTATAGTAGTAGTAGTAGTAGTAGTATATGTAGTAGTACCTGGGGTTGTGTATGTATATGTATATGTAGTAGTAGTAGTAGTAGTATATGTAGTAGTACCTGGGGTTGTGTATATGCAGCAGCACAAAGACCCCGAGGTGCCACAGTCCCTCTCGCTCCAGCACAGAGCAGAAGGAGAGGTGCAGCTGCCCCAGACTCGACTCCGGCAGGTGAGTGTAGTTCAGAGCGTCCAGCACCGTCCACAGGAGCCAACTGAGTCTGAAGTCCAGTCTGTGAGGAGACAGGGTCAGAGGGTCCAGCAGAGGGTGGAGAGGGTGATGCCTGCACAGACGCACAGAGAGAGAGAGAGTCAGAGAGGAGGAGAGATGAGTGGATGGGCTATTTTTTTATCCGCAACCGCGACACAAAACTCATCATCCGCCCGCTGTCCATTTGCACCCAAAGTTTTGACCAATTTTCAAAAGTGCACTCGCCCGCCATCCGCCCATTGAGTTTAGATTTTAGAACAATCATATAGCAAACAAACTAAGGAGCCTCCATAAAAATGCAAACTCTATAGCTCATTCATTCCAACATTCGCTCAAGGTGCATGTTCGCATTCTTAATTGTCCATAACAAAACGCCGCTTGTTGCTCAAGGTTTAACTCCCTGTTCAGAACCTCACCATGAGCGTGTGGGCTCAATAAACGCGCCAGTTCATTGCTCAAGAATCGTGGCTTTATTTGCTGTGATTCACTAAATAACAGGACAGTTGCTTCCTGATTCGCTTCGGTCGTCTTCTGACCGTTCATTTCACATACAGTAAAACATAGACATTCAAGAAGCGCGAGCGTCGGGGGCGTGCACGCAGTCACTCACTCAGGCTCACGCCACACGCCACTCTAAACACTGCACATAGGAGTAAAGACGCAGATCTCTTAATACTTATCAATATAGGCTATAATATATATATTTTTTTAATTTGAGTAGTTAAACCGCCACCCGCCCGAATTTAATTAAAATATTTTTCTTCACGTCATCCGCCCGACCTGCGGTTTAGCCGCGGACACCGCGGTTGTAACCGCAATCTGCACATCTCTAGAGAGGAGAGAGGAGAGTCCAGGTGATCCTCATTATGGTCCGTTCAGACTGCAGCATCAAAAAAAAAACCTTGTCGCCTTTATTTGGACACCTTTGCATTGGAGTTCAGACGCCCCTGATGCGCGTCTTGAACACTGTGGACGAACCCGTTTCCGTTGCCCTGGAAACAAGTGCCCGGTCCCAGTCTTTTGCCGAAACAAAGTCAGATCAGACTGAGAGAGACTTTAGTGTATTTATTACTAAAAAGTCCAGTTCCAGTCCTGGTTTAGTCATGGTCCGGTCCTGGTGTAGTCTTGGCAATCAGCTTGATGATTGTTCAACGTGTTTGTGGCTCCTTGCCCCGGTTCTCGGATCTTTCTCTTTCTTCTGGATAAAAACATCACTGTGTCACTGGATACTCGTCCTTGATTGGTTGAAGCAATCAGCATTTTCAGCGCTTCTGACGCCGACACACCGGACGCAAATCTAGAGCCTCGACACCAGAAAGCTCAAGCCGTACCACCTCGACACCAGATTAGGGCCGCGCTGACTTATATGCACATAGATCTTGCACATATCGTGATTAGACTTGAAATAAATACTCACAGTTCACATTGTAAACACCTCCTGGAGCAAGTAACAACTGAAATCTGAATCCCGTGTATTTCAGAACATGTTTGTAGACGTCTAAACCACAGGTACAAAGAGACTTCTTTGCAGACGATATTCTATTATCTAAAAGAGGCTCAACGCAGTACACATGCGACGCCAGCAGGGGGAGCGGTGCTACCTGTCGCTGTAGAGCTTCAGCAGGTGGAAGCAGAGGTCGTACAGAGGTCGCTTGTCCGAATCCTCCTCGTCCAGGTCCAAACACTCGGACTCTAGGTACGGAGGGAGAGGGGGGCAGGCGTACCTCACCCCGTCAGAACAGCCCTGAGAGCGCACACAGGAAAAGAGAAATAAGTGACATAATCTTGTTCTTCAGTCTAGTCGTTAATAGAAATGATCAGGTTCAACGTTTATGAATTTACTTTTTAGATATTTCATGGTTAAGTTCAGAGTTATCTACAGTCTGGGAAGTCTGGGATATGACGTCGCCTCATCAACACAGAATTAGGAGGTTTTGGGTTTGTGATGAACAGACCTGGAAGGCGTCCTGGTAGCGCTTGAGGGCGTCGGACACAGAGGCGGTGGGCGGGAGCATGTACCACAGGTGGACGGCCAGGCACCGCTTCCAGTCCAACTCCGAGCACACGTTTACGGAGGAGTCTGAGGATTCCCACACCTGAGGAGGAACAGGGAGAAGGAGAAAGAGGAGGTGGAGGAAGGAGGAGAAAGGAGGAAAGAGGAGGAAGCAGGAGGAAGAAGGAGGAGGGAAGAGGCAGAGGAAGGAGGATGAAGGAGGAGGAAGCAGGGGGAGGAAGGAGGAGGATGGAAGAAGCAGAGGAAGGAGGATGAAGGACAAAGAAGGAGGAGGAAGGAGGAATATGGAGGAGGAAGGAGGAGAATGGAAGAGGCAGAGGAAGGAGGATGAAGAAGGAGGAAGAAGGAAGAGGATGGAAGAGGCAGAGGAAGGAGGAGGAAGGAGGAGGATGGAAGAGGCAGAGGAAGGAGGATGAAGAAGGAGGAAGAAGGAGGAGGAAGGAGGAGGATGGAAGAGGCAGAGGAAGGAGGATGAAGAAGGAGGATGAAGAAGGAGGAGGAAGAAGGAGAAAGGAGGAGGTGGGGGAAGGAGGAGTGATGAGGAGGAAAGAGGAGAGAGGAGGTAGAGGAAAGAGGAGGAAGAAGAAAGGAGGAGGAGGAGGAAGGAGGAAAGAGGAGGAAGGAGGAAAGAGGAGGAAGGAAGAAGCGGAGGAAGGAGGTGGTGGAGGAGGGAGGAGGAAGGAGGAAAGAGGAGGAAGGAGAAAGGAGGAGGCAGAAGGAAGAGGCGGAGGAAGGAGGAGGAGGGAGAAAGGAGAAAGGATGAGGTGGAGGAAGGAGGAGGGGGGAGGAGGAGATTATAAAACCCTTATAATCTAAATAAAACTATTAGTCGACCAAAATATATGCAGCTGTATTAGTTAAGACGCCATCGGCCGATATTCTACACGTGGCGAGTGTTGTGGTCTTACTGGTTTCCCAGCGAGCAGCGTGAAGATCCGGAGACGTTCCTCCGACACGTAACTGTCCGTCCCCATTCGGTGCCAGTCTGCGAGCTGCAGCGCCAACAGCTCCCTGCAGAACTGAGAGCCAAGAGCCTGGGAGAGGAGCAGGGAGAGCCGGTGGTCTCCTGCAGAGAATAAACACATGTATATGTAACGTATGGCAATTTAAAACCTGATCCAGCATTTTTTTGTTAGTATCACAAAGTAGTAGCAGTACACAGAGTATTCTTGGCAGTATTCGCAGTATTTTAGGAAACAGTACCGTGTTTCTGTGCGAACTGGCAGGCCTGGCTGATGCAGTTTCCCGTGAGGAGACTGAAAATGGCGTCCGCGTGTCTGTCCTGGGAAAGAGACACTTCCCGCTCCACCCTGCAGAGGGCGCCCTGAGCCAGCCACGAGGAGAAGGCGCGGCGTCGGAGGAGCTGCTGCTGGTACTCTCCTATGGGGGGGTCCTGGCCCGAGTCCTGGTCCAAGTCCGGGTCTGAAGGCGACAGGCGGCCCCACAGAGCCTCACACAGAGTCCAGGCCTCTCTCCAGTCGTTCAGAACAGCTGCAGGACAAACACACACACACACACACGGAGGCTGAGACATGAAACAACACAAAGTCATGTTTATTCTTTATCAGGGATCCTACAGGTTTCTTCAAATTAAATTCAAGTCTTTTTAAGACCTTTTTAAGACCATTTATTTTAAAAACTTAATACCTATTTCATGGCAAAGAAAAGAAAAGAAGATTTGCTGTTCATTAATTTCTCAAACAAATGTGAAAATGTGGAACGTGTAAAACAGGAGAAACAAACTCACAGAGGCCAAAATTAAAAACTGGGACTAAGTCGTGTGCCAAACTAAATATTTATTTAAAAATGTCAACAACATCTGCATATTTTCTCTTCTTTTGAGATCTGTAATTTTAAAACTTCACTTTTGAAGAAAGGCATAATATAAGACTTTTAATAAATAATGTCTCTATAGTCTATCTGTGTACGGCGAGTAGCTCTAATACATATTTCATATGATCTCTCGGGCCAAATATAATTATATTGCGGGCCAAATTTGGCCCCCAGGCCTAAGTTTGACATGCCTGATGTAACCTCATTGCAGCAGAGTGAGTGCTGATGCTACAACAGCCCAGACACAAACAGTCTGTGTATCATTCGTTCATTCGTTTTTCAATATAAAACTAAAAATAAGAAAAAAACCCAAAAAAAAACTGTTTTCTTCATTATTTGTCTCCAAAACCAAAATGAAAAAACCAGATAACAAAGTTTTAAATTTTTTGATTTTGTCAGATAACGACCCTTTCCCATTTCCGTGACTTAAAGTTCGATAGAAACATTTGAGGAGAAAAGCGATACAGAGAAGTTACATACTGCACAAATTTTAAGACGCACATATAAAAATTCATGACTTTCAAACTGCTGGCTAATTCTATTCTACTTCTGCAATTTTATGTGTGAGAAACTTTTAACTGCAGAAATCAGCTCACCTGTTGTAGATCCAATGAAGTCAGTTCTTTAAATAAATAAAACAATTAAAAGTCTAATAAAGCCTGAGTCAGGGCAGTGCCTACAGTGAATATCACCCACAGGGAATGTTGGTAAACCTCAGTTTGTTTTGTTTTGTTGTTTGACTGGCCTGAATGGAGGTGAAGACGCGGGTCCCGGTGCAGATCTTGGTCTTAAACCCCCCGTTTTCGTGTAGTGACTTACGCTGGGCGGAGCCGTGCCTCTCGCTGACCTCCGCTGCCCACTGTGCGTACTCGTGCAGCGCGGCCACTCCGCTCTGAGGCTGCACAAACGGACAGCGCTCCGAGCTCACGATCCTGCTGTGCTTCAGACAGATCTCCAGGGGGCGCTCTAACACGGCCTCACGCAGCTCCTGGGCTTCAGAAGAGTCCAGACCCAAATCAAGACCAGAGTCTGGACCCTGAACCTGCTCCACGGACACTTTGTAAGGGGACTCCGAGAGGCTGAACACCAGAGGGAAAACAAATGAGAAATGAGTCAATATACAACAGAAAACTTTTTAAGTGAATACTAAAGTACAACAAACACAAAACCTGTCATTATCTAGACTCCTGTCAGAGGGAAAGTTGTCAAAAGTATAAAAATTAGATACCAAACGATACTAAAACCATTCTCGTGATAAAGATGAGCTCACGTTTTGTGCGTGGGTCTTGGCAGGAAGCTGTAGTCCAGGTCTTTGTCCAGGACTTTGGATTCGGAGCTCAGGGTCTGACCCGAGTGAACCAGAGTCCAACCAGGACCCCAGCCCACCCTGAAGGAGCGGCCCCGAAACAACCCGGCGTCCATCAGCAGAGAGCCCTGCAGAGAACAAGACCAGAGACCTGGTTTAGACCTGGGCTAGACCTGGGCTAGACCTGGGCTAGACCTGGCATAGACCTGGGTTAGACCTGGGTTAGACCTGGATTAGACCTGGATTAGATTAGACCTGGATTAGACCTGGATTAGACCTGGATTAGACCTCGATTAGACCTCGATTAGACCTGGCATAGACCTCGGATTAGACCTCGGTTAGACCTCGGTTAGACCTCGGTTAGACCTCGGTTAGACCTCGGTTAGACCTCGGTTAGGCCTGGGTTAGGCCTGGGTTAGACCTGGGATAAACCTGGGTTAGACATGGGTTAAACCTGGGTTAGACACGGGTTAAACCTGGGTTAGACACGGGTTAAACCTGGGATAGACATGGGATAGACATGGGTTAGACCTGGGTTAACCTGGGGCGGGCCTGAAGCGTGCGGCCCAAGCGTGCTGCAGCCCGTGTGGTCGCGGAGGCAAAAACTCGGAGCTGGGAGGAGTTCGGGGAGGCCATGGAGGAGAAGGACTATCAGACGGCCTCAAAGAGATTCTGGCAAACCGTCCAGCGCCTCAGGCCTCAGGGGGAAGCAGTTCTTCGCCAACACTGTTTACAGTGCGGGGGGAGAACTGCTGACCTCGACTGGGGACGTTGTCCAGCGGTGGAAGGAATACTTTGAGGATCTCCTCAATCCCACCGTCACGTCTTCCGAGGAGGAGGCCGAGGCTGGGGACTCGGAGGAGGACTCATCCATCACCCTGGCTGAAGTCACTGAGGTGGTTGGAAAGCTCCTTGGTGGCAAGGCTCCGGGATTGGATGAGATCCGTCCTGAGTACCTTAAGTCTCTGGATGTTGTGGGGCTGTCTTGGCTGACACGCCTCTTCAACATCGCGTGGCGGTCGGGGACAGTACCTCTGGACTGGCAAACCGGGGTGGTGGTCCCTCTGTATAAGAAGGGGGACCGGAGGGTGTGTTCCAAGTATAGGGGGATCACACTCCTCAGCCTTCCCGGTAAGGTCTATGCCAGGGTACTGGAGAGGAGAATCCGGTCGAACCTCAGATCCAGGAGGAGCAGTGTGGTTTTCGTCCTGGCCGTGGAACACTGGACCAGCTCTACACTCTCCATTAGGTGCTCGAGGGTTCATGGGAGTTTGCCCAACCAGTCCACATGTGCTTTGTGGACTTGGAGAAGGCATTCGACCATGTCCCTCGTGGCGTCCTGTGGGGGGTGCTCTGGGAGTATGGGGTTCGGGGCCCTTTGCTAAGGGCTGTCCGGTCCCTGTATGACCGGAGCAGGAGCTGTGTTCGTTGCCGGCAGTAAGTCAGACCTGTTCCCGGTGCATGTTGGACTCCGCCAGGGCTGCCCTTTGTCACCGGTTCTGTTCATTGTATTTATGGACAGAATTTCTAGGTGCAGTCAGGGGCCGGAGGGGGTCCGGTTTGGGGACCACAGGATCTCATCTCTGCTGTTTGCGGATGATGTTGTCCTGTTGGCTTCATCGAACCAGGACCTGCAATGTGCACTGGAGCGGTTTGCAGCCGAGTGTGAAGCGGCTGGGATGAAGATCAGCTCTTCCAAGTCTGAGGCCATGGTTCTCGACCGGAAAAAGGTGGTTTGCCCTCTCCGGGTGGGTGGGGAGTCTTTGCCTCAAGTGGAGGAGTTCAAGTATCTCGGGGTCTTGTTCACGAGTGAGGGGAGGACAGAACGTGAAATTGACAGGTGGATCGGTGCAGCTTCGGCAGTGATGCGGTCGCTGTATCGGACCGTTGTGGTGAAGAGGGAGCTGAGCCGAAAGGCGAAGCTCTTGATTTACCAGTCAGTCTTCGTTCCTACTCTCACTTATGGTCATGAGCTCTGGGTAGTGACCGAAAAGACAAGATCGCAGATACAAGCGCTTGAAATGGGTTTCCTTTGCAGGGTGGCTGGGCGCTCCCTTAGAGATAGGGTGAGGAGCTCAGTCACACGGGAGGAGCTCGGAGTAGAGCCGCTGCTCCTCCTCGTCGAGAGGAGCCAGTTGAGGAGGCTCAGCCATCTGTTCCGGATGCCTCCTGGGCGCCTCCCTCGGGAGGTGTTCCGGGCATGTCCCACCGGGAGGAGGCCCCGGGGAAGACCCAGGACACGCTGGAGGGACTATGTCTCTGGGCTGGCCTGGGAACGCCTCGGGGTCCCCCCGGAGGAGCTGGAGGACGTGTCTGGGGTGAAGGAAGTCTGGGAGTACCTGCTTAGGCTGCTGCCCCCGCGACCCGGCCCCGGATAAGCGGACGAAAATGGTTGGATGGATGGATGGATAAACCTGGGTTAGACCTGGGTTAGACCTGGGTTAAACCTGGGTTAAACCTGGGTTAAACCTGGGTTAGATCTAGGATAAACCTGGGTACTCGCCCAATCTTCTAATTTTTTATGATTTTAGTATCTGTGGTGAATTTAGCCCCAGTTATATTAAAGTATTATAGGCATCGTGTCTGGAATATTACAGCAAACACAGCCCAGTTGTACATTGTTCTGTCCCGTGTTATAGATTTTGTTAACTATTGTCATATGTTGTAATTGGTGCGCTGTTGGTCGACATAAAGAAAACTTTAATTTAAGACTGCACACCGATTAAACGTTAAGCCACAGAGCTGCTCCTTTCACTACGATAAAAATGACCATGTGACTGAGAAGAGAGTCTTGAATACATAATCTGGAAGCAAAGAAGACTCAGTACACCTTGGGTAAGGTTTACACATGTACTGTATTTTCTGGACTATTAGGCGCTCTGGATTATAAAGGCGCACTGTCATTAAATGGTCTATTTTCAAACTTTTTCACAAATAAACCGCACCGGACTTTAAATGAAACACAACAGTGTGATGGGTGAGTGGTTTTGTTTGTTTGTGGCGTTCACGGTGACTCTGGGCTTTGTTCAGTTGTGGCGTGTAGGGAGGGTGCTGTCTGGGACCAACGGATTGTCAGCGTGTTCGCAGTGACTCAGTTGTTCAGTTGTGTCTAGAAGTGGCACATTGCCCTCGCTTTTTCGATTCCTTCCTCCGTTCCTCGTTGGCGTGGAGTGATGAGTGTGTCTGCGGGTGTGTTTCGCTGTGCGGTCGCTGTCTGCTCCGTGTGTTTGTAGTTTACTGGGACACCCGAGTGGATTCGTGTATGGGGCGCTCTGGATTGTGGGATTGTGGATTGTGCGCACTTTTTTGATGGGGTTGGAGGCTTAAGAGTGCGTCTAATAGCCCAGAAAATACAGTACATACTTAAGTATTCTGTGGTGAATTTAGCCCCAGCTGAATTAAAGTTTTATCAGGTATAAAAAGGTAAAAATAGCCTAATTATTTGTTATAATATTGTAAATTAATGTCTTAAGCTCCTCGACAGTACAGCAGCTTCAGAACATAGTGACAGACATTATGTGATGTTTTAGCTCACCGTTTCTAAAGGCAGTGTTTTTCTTCCTTCATATTATTTATGTTTGCGCTGAAGCACATGATTACTTCTATGTTGTTGGGCATAATAGTGAAGATTTCTGTTTGCAATTGATTAATAATTGTGCGTGGACTGAAATGTACTGATTTGAAATGTTTTGAAGTAACGATCGGTGCTGATGCTTGTCTGGAAAAGGGAAAAGGGGCAGATAACATAAGACTGCTCTTCTTTTTGCTCCTTTTCATTCATTTCTTGTATGTTTGATGTTGTGACACTGCTGATGTATTTTTTATACTTTATGAATGAAATAAATAAATAAAATGTAAACAAATCAGTGCATTCGGTTCTGCTCTGGTGATCTGTTCAAAGTTTTGTTTAACCTTGGTGATTTACAGCAGCTTTAGAGTCTCCTCCTTCGATCTATTCACCCGATGCAAGAAGATACTCTAAAAATATAGTTTTTGTTCGGCCAATCGAGGTTTTTTCTGTCCTAGTTTAGTCCTGGGGTTCAGTACCTTGTTGTACGTGACAGACTCCTTCAGAGGCACAGGTCCTCCCAGTCTCTTCGCGCCCACAGTCCTGATGTTGAGGCTCTCCTGATGTCGAGAGGGGAGCGAGGGGAGCGAGGGGAGAGACGGGAGAGAGGGAAGCGAGGGAGGAGCCAGACTCTTCGGAGGCGTCCAGAGAGCGGGTGCCGCGAGGGGGCGGGGCACAGACGGGTGAGGGAGGGACGGGGAGCGTGGAGATTCTGAGAGCTGAGCCAGGAATCGACTCTGTAGAAGTCCTCCCACTAGAAAGAGACACACAGAGTTAAATACAGCTTTGCAGAAAAATGATCAATACACCCCCATTTCTTCAACACAAATGGCCATAAAATGCACAGAAAATTCACCAGCTTTAAAAACCTATAAAAACAAACACATAATCTATAATCTAAATTTTTAATTGCAACTAAACAGTTCTGTCGCTACTGCAAATTAATTCCTGGAAAGCACTGCGATTTATGTTTCAATAGAATTCTGTACAAAGTATTTAAAACTAAACGTTCAGAAGAATCAACACAAAGACTGAAATTTGAACTGACAAACTAATACATGGTACAAATGAGATGTAAAACAGGATGTTTTTGGAGGAATAACTGGAGCCTTTGTGATTTATTCATTGCTCCCAATCAAATCAAGATGTACATGACAGAACTATTACACTGTGTGAGCGAGAGAGTGTGAGAAAGAATGTGAGAAAGAGTGAGAGAATGTGAAGAAGATTGAGAATGTGACAAAGGGTGAGAGTGAGAGAGTGTGAGTGTGAGAGAATGAGAATGTGAGAGCGAGAAAGAAAGAGTGAGTGACAGTGTGAGAGTGAGTGAGAATGTGAGAGTGAGAAAATGAGTGTGACTCAGAAAGTGTGAGTGCAAGATAGAGTAAAAAAGGGTGAGTGAGTGACAAGAGTATGAGTGAGTGAGTGAGTGAGTGACTGAGTGTGAGTGAGTGTCAGAGTGTCAGAGTGTGAGTGAGTGAGTGTGTGTCAGAGTGTGAGTGAGTGTGTGTCAGAGTGTGAGTGAGTGAGTGTGTGTCAGAGTGTGAGTGAGTGAGTGTGTGTCAGAGTATGAGTGAGTGAGTGAGTGACTGAGTGTGAGTGAGTGTGTGTCAGAATGTGAGTGAGTGACTGAGTGTGAGTGAGTGAGTGTGTGTCAGAGTGTGAGTGAGTGAGTGTGTGTCAGTGTGTGAGTGACTGAGTGTGAGTGAGTGAGTGAGTGAGTGACTGAGTGTGAGTGAGTGTGTGTCAGAATGTGAGTGAGTGACTGAGTGTGAGTGAGTGAGTGTGTGTCAGAGTGTGAGTGAGTGTGTGTCAGAGTGTGAGTGAGTGAGTGTGTGTCAGAGTGTGAGTGAGTGAGTGTGTGTCAGAGTGTGAGTGAGTGAGTGTGTGTCAGAGTGTGAGTGAGTGAGTGTGTGTCAGAGTGTGAGTGAGTGAGTGTGTGTCAGAGTGTGAGTGAGTGAGTGTGTGTGAGTGAGTGAGTGTGTGTCAGAGTGTGAGTGAGTGAGTGTGAGAGTGTGAGTGAGTGTGTGAGTGTGAGTGTGTGTCAGAATGTGAGTGAGTGACTGAGTGTGAGTGAGTGAGTGAGTGTGTGTCAGAGTGTGAGTGAGTGAGTGTGTGTCAGAGAGTGTGAGTGAGTGAGTGAGTGTGTGTCAGTGAGTGTGAGTGAGTGAGTGTGTGTCAGAGTGTGAGTGTGAGTGAGTGAGTGTGTGTCAGAGTGTGAGTGAGTGAGTGTGTGTCAGAGTGTGTGAGTGAGTGAGTGTGTGTCAGAGTGTGTGAGTGAGTGAGTGTGTGTCAGAGTGTGTGTCAGTGTGAGTGAGTGTGTGTCAGAGTGTGAGTGAGTGAGTGTGTGTCAGAGTGTGAGTGAGTGAGTGTGTGTCAGAGTGTGTGAGTGAGTGAGTGTGTGTCAGAGTGTGTGAGAGTGAGTGAGTGAGTGTGTGTCAGAGTGTGAGTGAGTGAGTGTGTGTCAGAGTGTGAGTGAGTGAGTGTGTGTCAGAGTGTGAGTGAGTGAGTGTGTGTCAGAGTGTGAGTGAGTGAGTGAGTGTGTGTCAGAGTGTGAGTGAGTGAGTGAGTGTGTGTCAGAGTGTGAGTGAGTGAGTGTGTGTCAGAGTGTGAGTGAGTGAGTGTGTGTCAGAGTGTGAGTGAGTGTGTGTCAGAGTGTGAGTGAGTGAGTGTGTGTCAGAGTGTGAGTGAGTGAGAGTGTGTGTGTGAGTGTGAGTGTGTGTCAGAGTGTGAGTGAGTGAGAGAGAGAGAGACAGACAATGTGAGAAACAGCGTGTGAGTGAGTGTGTGTTAGAGAGTGTGTGTTTTACCTGAGGGCCGTCCCTGCACTCGTGGAGATGACACGTCAGAGAACTTTAGTCTGGGCTCCACAAACATGTCCACAGCCGCTTCCTCCTCCTCCTCCTCCGCGAACAGAGACGCCTTCATGATCTGCAACACACACACATACATCCACCTGTGTCAGATGCCCTCCCGTATTAGACTGAGACGGGGGCAGGTAAAACACCTCTAATCCCTCCGCAGATGTCGTGCTTAGAGAAATGTAGTGGGAGAACAGAGTAGAAAAACACCGGACACCTGTAGCGTGTGGGGGTTGATTCCCAGGGACGTAGCGATGTGGGCGGAGCCTGAGATGGCGGCGTGCTCCGACTGGCCGATGTCGCCGCCGCTCACTTCCTGTTCGTCCGGGCTCTCTGAGGGGAGGGGCTGCGTGATGTCGGCCATGTCGCTGTCCAGCTCGAGCGCCGGGGGGGCACAGGGCTCCACCACCACAGTGGACTGAAGACAGAGGAGAGGGAAAGACTAAAGTCAGGACAGAACTACTGATAATGTGCAGCTGGTGTCATCAACATTCCCCAAGTTGTGATGCCGGCTTTAAGACTTTATTTTAACACAATCAGCTGAACATTCCCGTGGTAAAGATGCATAAAAAACACCTCTATTGTGATGTCACTGCAGATTATCAATAAGACTGAACATTTCAATAAAAGCATTGACGTCACATTGTAGAGTCTCTAGTTTAACCTGAGCTGGAGGACAGGTCAGAAATCTCAGGTGGAATTCACGGTGTTGCAGATGTGTTGACCTGTTTATGTTTAATATCTCTGTAATTACCGGGCCTATCCAAATGAAACAAAAACTGTCAAAGTTCAAAGTATTCTCTGTCATTATAAATAAAAGTTAAATTATTTTTTCAAAGTCGCTTCAGAAAACTGAGCCATTATTCACATTGTTGTCAGCTGAAAGATTAAGATTAATATGACAAGTTTGTGTAGGAAGTTTCATAAAGTTTATTCCAAAAAAAAAAACCAATCACCAAACACCAATCACAATAAATATCATACCCAAATCAGTTGGCCTCTGTGTCTCTGGTTTTCAGCAGTTAAATGTGCCTGAATTTTATTAAATATATATATATATATATAATAATATAAAATATGTATATTAAAAAATATATAAACCACTGACTTACTCTGGAATATTGTCGTCCCTTTCTCTGTAACTGCTGCCATGAGCCTCGCCATTTTAAATCTTTTCTATAGGCTCTATTCACGTTTACGTCACAAACCAGGAAGACGTTTGGAAACACACAATGAAACTGTGATCAAACCCACTGAAGTAAACGTGATCAGTGGTAAAATTAAAATGGCAGAAGTATGTGCTGTTTGGAATTATCTAGAATTTGGCGCTTTGTCTCTTCTAATCGCATGTACCCAGTGAGATCGGAGTTGTGCGTCAGCGGGGAAATGATGAAAACTAAGGTGTGGTTGTAACTGTTGATTTGCCGAACATAATGAAACGCTACAATGACATGGAGATGAAGAAAACTGGGACATTTTCTCATTTTCCCTAGATTTTGTTAGACTTCCGACAGCAAACAGAGCCCGCCCGAAGTTGTAATTGCATGTTTCCAAACGTCTTCCTGATTTGTGACGTAAGCGTGAAAAGAGCCTATAAACCCGTTTTACATGATCCTGTTTTTTTTTTTTTTTTCACTATTTTGTCCGTTTAAACAAATCCTATACATAATAATCCTATACATAATAACCACTGGAATTGCGAGCTTTATTTGAGCCGCGCTGAACGCTGTGGGTGGCGTCACACTCGCTCAGTCCACTTCTTTATACAGTCTGTGAAGGAGACAGAGACCTGTGTTTGCGGCGCCCCCTGCTGCTGGCCCACAGGAGGAACAGGGCCCAGGGTCTTGAGTTTCTTCGGGTCGAGTTTGAGCGGCACTTCCTCATCTTCGTCTGATTCCTGAAGTCCGTACTTAGAAAAGTGAGAGACCTGAGCGACAAAGACATTTAAAAACAATTATATTTAACCATAACACATTTGAGGATTTTACTTTTGGACAGTTATTATGAAAACAAGAGAAATGAGATGCGCTCTTTGTTTCTGTTCCTCACCTCAAAGACCCAGGAGCCGGTCTCGGGCCTGTACTCCAGGAAGCGCGCCCCCTGTCTGCGGGAGGCCTTCTCCAGACGCCCCTCGTAGTTCATCTCTGAGAGGCGCTCGGGGCTGCGGATCTGAGAACACGTGGTCTTGTCGTTGGGCCACACTCCGTCCAGAGTCACCTCCGCTCGCCTGCAGGGGGAGCTCAGAGTCAGTACCAGTAGTAGAAGTTTACTTTTATTCAATCTGGTTGGTGAACTAGATGATTATGGCCAAGGAAAAGACTACGTTTAATGGCACTTGGCACAGGTGAGTAGTCCAGAGTGTACTCCAGAGTGTACTCCAGAGTGTACTCCAGAGTGTAGTGCAGAGAGTACTCCAGAGTGTACTCCAGAGTGTAGTGCAGAGTGTACTCCAGAGTGTACTCCAGAGTGTACTCCAGAGTGTACTCCAGAGTGTAGTGCAGAGAGTACTGCAGAGAGTACTGCAGAGAGTACTGCAGAGAGTACTCCAGAGAGTACTCCAGAGTGTAGTGCAGAGAGTAGTGCAGAGAGTAGTGCAGAGAGTAGTCCAGAGTGTAGTCCAGAGTGTACTCCAGAGTGTAGTCCAGAGTGTAGTCCAGAGTGTAGTCCAGAGTGTAGTCCAGAGAGTATTGCAGTAGTCCAGAGAGTGGTCCAGCCGATAGTCCAGCCGGTAGTCCAGAAAGTGGTCCAAAGAGTAGTCCAGCCGGTAGTCCAGAAAGTGGTCCAAAGAGTAGTCCAGCCGGTAGTACAGCCGGTAGTAGTGGTGAGAGTAGTGGTGAGAGTAGTGGTGAGAGTAGTCCAGGGAACAGTCCAGAGTAGTCCTGACAGTACTGCAGTAGTCCTGACAGTATCGCAGTAGTCCTCCTGTCAGTACTGCAGTAGTCCTGACAGTACTGCAGTAGTCCTGACAGTATCGCAGTAGTCCTCCTGTCAGTACTGCAGTAGTACCTGTTGAGGCCCTGTCCCTCCGGAGGCTTGTTCTTATCATCTGGATAAATAATCACTTCTTTTCGTCTGAAGTGAACGATGTCGTCGAGGTTGAGCCCGGCCACGTTCACCTCTCCAGGGAAAAACACAGAGCCGTACCCTAAAAAACACAAACAAATGTTTATCCAGAATATTAGAGGGGTTATTTAAAGGTACATAAGGTTTGGTTGTGGGTCCGTCACCTGCTTGTTTCTATGGATACATCATTGCTCTGCCTGGAATGTTCCTCAGTGTGACATTAAACAGTTGTATTTTACTTTTTTATTTTACTTCTATTACCGGTGGTTTTATTGTTCAAAAATATCTAGAAAAACACACATTCTGACTGAGAACAGGCTCTCCTCTCCACAGATTTGCCCTGTAATTTGGCCCGGTTTGGTCTCCATGAAGACAGAAAGGTTTAATTCCATATTGTGAAACATTCCAGACAAAGCAATAACACCTCCATGGAAAGAAAGAAAAGTATTTGACAAGTACTCCACCAGAAAAGTTACACCCCTTGCCACATTTACATGATGTTTTCATGATGTTTTTTTTTTTTTATTACGAATTAATTGTTCTGAAGTAAACAGTTCAGAATTTAAATATTCTTCTTCGAGTTTACATGGAAATAATAATTCTGAGTTGAGGTTTACATAGAAAACTTGTTAAATCACCAGGACTGGTGGAGCCGGATCGAAGGACGACACAACGAGCATGCGTTGAACAACCGGAATTATTTTTAGGAAGAATAAACGTTTACATCAGGGGTCTCAAACTCAAATTACCTGGGGGTCACATTAGATAAAGTTTGAGTAAGGCTGGGCCGCATTGAGTATTCGATAAATAGTGGTTGCAAGAAAAAAAATGCCGTATGTGCACGTGTACTCGTATTAACAGATCCACTTAGACTCGTTGCTTCACAACTGCTGTAAGTTGAGTTTTGGGATGTAAGCTGCGTTAATCTCTTGTTGTGAATCTTCACGGGCACTGATTGCAGCTTCATCTGTCAGTGCGGCCCGCGGTAGGTGGGTGGGATTGTGTGTACATCTACCACGCACTGACATTATTCTTTGGAATTAAGTGGAGGGCCGCAAAAAATCCTTCTGAGGGCCGCAGTTGGCCCCCGGGCCGCGAGTCTGAGACCCCTGGTTTACATGATCGAGGAATAAATTCATTTGGCTTTAAAATTGGAATAAACCACCCACTTACTTCAGAATTAAGTTTAATTTCGAATAATAATTTTCATTAGGAATCAAGTCTTTACACGGTCTGTTTAAAGTGGAATTCATTTTTATTCAGAATTAAAGCTCTCGTGTAAACGTGGCAAATGCACCTTCATTCACCATCAGCATCTAACAGATCGGCAGATTGTTGAAGAGTAATGCCGTACCTCTCCTGCCCACGGTGAAGTTCTCTACAAAACAGTCTCCGTTCGAGTCCACCATCTCAGTCAGCTCCTCAAGAGACGGGATGGTGAAGTAACCCGCCCGAGTCAGCACGATGCCTGCAGCAAAACACAAGATCAGACAAGGACAAACAGAGTCAAATGATCACCTGATGATTTGTGTTAAAGTCACTGTGCCTCACTTTTACAGCCTTAAAAATGTGAAAAATTGAACTAGCTCATTGTAAACAGTTTGCAGTGGAACAAAGTTATTCCTCCTCACCACATTCTGAGCATCTTATTCACCATGAGGAGTTTATAAGCACTTTTCACAACTCTCAGGCACTAAAGCACAGTTTAGCCGTCACAGTAAAGCCAACAACCACTAGCATGCAACGCCCACTTCCTGAAATTAGATGATGACGATACTCTAGAGCTGCTTATTCATCTTGCCTGCACTGGACAAGACACATTTTAGTCAAATATAAGATAAATATCTGGTACAGAGCCTTTAAATGACCCTGCACTGGAAAGTTCATAGTGTCAGGTTTATTTAAGGTCTTTTCAAGTTTCAGAATCCTCATAATTTTTAATCAACAGCTCTCGTGTTTATAGTGTGTGTGTTGACTATAAAAAGAAGTGGACCTGTATGTATGCAAGCAAGCTGTACTCATTTTAGAACTCATGAATGTACAGTCAATGTGATTAAGCAGTATTTCAATAAAAAAAAATTGATCACAAAAAAAAGAAACAAAAAAAAAAAAGAAGTGGACCAATGGTCTGTTGGTCTGAATGGTCTGATTCAGAGTCGATGTAGAAGCGCGTCTAGGGCGTCCTGCGTTTTTGCAGCAGTTGACGTGGCGCGTCTTGAACATTCAGGCGCCAAAGGTCTGAAAGCGCATCAGAAGTTGAAAATGCTGAATTTTTTATGTCAGACGCACCACGTAAACCAATCAGGGACGACTATCCAGTGATGTAGCGACGTTATTATCCAGAAGCAGAAAGAAACGAGAAAGACTCGAGAGTCACAAACACCAAAACAACAAATCTACCCCATGCCATTAGCGGATTATAAATATATACCGCAACTCTCGAGCTGATCGCCAACACTACACCTGGACTGGATCAGGACTAAATCAGGTCTAAATCAGGACTGGACCAGGACTGGACCAGGACTGGACCAGGACTGGACCAGGACTGGACCAGGACTGGACCAGGACTGGACCAGGACTGGACCAGGACTGGACCAGGACTGGACCAGTCATTAGCAGAGTATAAATATATACACTCCGCCACCACTGATTTGTTCTATGTAATAAATACACTAAAGTCACTCTCGTTGGTCCATGGCGTCAAAGAACCGTCAAAGAAGTGTCAGGACAGATGCAAAGGCGTCCAAATAGAGGCATCCAGGGCGCTTTTGTGACATCACCCACAGCCTTCAGCTCCAGCCAAATGAAGCTCCACGAGGCAGTTACAGCAATTTCACATTTAAAACTCTAACCAAAAGCAACGCTGCCAATCAAACCTGTTGGTGGCAGGAAGAGCTTCCAGATGAGCAATGTCCATTTACAGTTTATAAATGCATCTCGGGTGTGTGGCTGTTACCTGCAGGATGCGGAGCCTGAACCTCCAGCTGCTCGTCGTCCCGATCGTCCTGAAGAGACTCCTCCCCCAGAGACGCAGACACGTCCTCGCTGCTCAGCTGTCAATCAAAACAGTCACACCACAAAGCTGTCAGTCAAACCTTTTCATACATCGATAACTCGCACCAATCCTGTTTAAAGTATTTCAATATTCAGGATGAAGATCAAGCATAACCCGGGGTTCAAAGCGAGACAGACAGAACAGAATCCAGCCGTGGTCTTTTTCACGCAGTTCTATGCGGGGTCTAAACCGGGTCTCACCTCGAGGCTGGTCTTGGAGGCTTTGTGCATGTTCATGTCGCTGATGGTGTCCTGTAGGCTGGTGTGGAGTCTGCTCTGGGGGATGGGTTTGGCGATGGGGTTCACGTAAAACTGGGTCACCTCCGGGTCCTCCTCCGGGCGAGAGCTGGAGGCCGCCACCTCCCGAGACGCTTCCTCCTCCTCTGACGGGCTACACACACAGACACAAAGACATGGAGACACACAGAGACACACAGAGACACACACAGGGTTAATTGTAGTTTAGTTCAGAGCACCAATTTTAAACAAACCCAGAAATAATAATAATAATTGAGAAAAGACTGAAATATGAACTGTGAAACTTGTACAAGAATTACATGCATTCTATAACATTTTTCTAGAGATCAAAAGTTCTGCATTTTTATTTTTAAAAAAGCAAAACATTTTAACCCAGCTATTTTCTTTTTCACAGCTGTTCCATTGCAAAAATAAATGCAGTTTTAGCTCTTTGGTATGACTGCAATACATTGGCAGCCCTAATTCATACGAGCCCAAGACGAGCCCAAGACGAGCCCAAGACGAGCCCAAGACGAGCCCAAGACGAGCCCAAGACGAGCCCGGGTCTAGCCCAAGAATAGGCCGAGAATAGGCTGAGAATAGGCCGAGAACAGGCCGAGAACAGGCCGAGAACAGGCCGAGAACAGGCCCGGTCTAGCCCAAGACTAGCCCAAAAATAGACCAAAAATAGCCTGGGTCTAGCCCAAGAATAGCCCAAGAATAGCCCAAGAATAGGCCGAGAATAGGCCGAGAATAGGCCGAGAATAGGCCGAGACTAGGCCGAGACTAGGCCGAGACTAGGCCGAGACTAGGCCGAGACTAGCCCGAGACTAGCCCGAGACTAGCCCAGGTCTAAGCAGAGTCTAGCTCAGGTGTAAGCCGGGTCTTTACCTGTGTCCGTTCTGGGGGTACTCTGGAGGCGAGGCGAGGTCGTCCGTCTCTTTGGACAGGGGACTGCTGTACTGAGAACTGTTCAGGTTTTTCAACACCAGCTTCTTTATGCTCTTCCTGAAAAAGATGGACAATAAACTGTGCTGTTACCAGAATGATCCAGCAGAGGGCGGTAGAGTGCAGCTGTGATTTAGGAATGATGATTTAGTCAAACAAACTCTTGAACTGCAAATTTGAATGAAAAAAGACTGACTAAATTCACCTGAAAGAACAATGACATGCGTTTCAGAGCATGTTCGTACCTTGGGACGAAGGCTCCGTTGGAAAGCGCAGGCTCATCATCGTCCAGTCCGTCGAACAGCTGAGACTTGGAGGTTCCAGACGAGGACAGGGCTTTAGGTCGCACCCTGGTGGCCGGACGCGGGGTCAGTTTGTAGTGAGTGGGCGTCGTCAGGGCCTTCTGAGCTGTTGGATTGGTCGGTTTCAGGCGCTACAGGAAAATTTGGTAAAAGAAAAGTTGAAGACTAACAAAACATTCTGTACCAACAGTAACATAAAATGACTTAATCTGAACTGAAAATAAAAAGGCACAAATCGGAGCCAGTAGTCAAGATCCAGTGTACAAGGGCTGAGCAATCTGGGAATCACTGAACGAAGTACTAAACTGCCAAATAGGCTCCTTTGTTTCACACGTGTTACTAAAATAAACAAATCTGATTGGATTATCAAGTTTGGTTCTGGCCCAAGATGCAACGGTGAGAGTTGGGACCAGACTGATATTCCTCTGTATAAAAATCCACAACTGATTTGTTTGTCATCTCTTATTCTTATTTTGATTTAGAAACAAAATAGAGCAATAAAATCATATACATGATGTAGAGCAGGTTAAAGGGCCCATGTCATGCAAAATAACTCTTTTCACATTGTATTTTCTGCACATAAACAAGAACAATTTGGGTTTTGGATAGTGATGGGCAAATGAGACGGAGCTCCGGAGCACGTCTCGTTCTTTCTGAAACAAACTGCTCTGAAGCGCTGCCTCGGAGCTCGTCTCGCAGCAGCCGCTCACGTGACCAAAGTGTGGAAGTGTCGGTCCCTCCCCCTACTGCTTCGCTCTGCGTGTCAATCGCTTCAGTGTATCGAAGCGTTTCATTGGCTCGACGAATGTTCCGCTCTGCGATTGGTTCAGAGTGCTTCAGAGTGTTCAACGCACTTTCATGGTTTGACGAGTGCTAAACTGCTACAGTATAAAATATGCGCCAATATTTCTTAAAAATGTTGGGTAGTGAGGAGTATTGTGTGACTTTAGTGGTGATTTTGGTGACTTTTGGCAACTTTGGGCATTTGTTTCATTTTCGATGGCATCTACAAGTGGAAAAAAGTGATCCATGGTTTGGGATCACTTTGATCTAATTCCACCTAACAAGGTAACACCTTTTTTTCTTATTTACAGCATGTTATTTATGTTGCTCTTTACATATTATTTTAAATCATTATTATTATTGTTGTTGTTGTTGTTAGGTGCGGTGTCGCTCTGCACACAAGTATTGTCTTACACTAACAATACTTCATCGATGCTGAGACTCCTGTGTGCCAATGGTTAAATTTGCCCACTGGAGGTCAGTGTTTCTCCAAGGCCTCAGACACTTCCAACCATTTGAGACAATATTGCGACTGAGGTGTCAATGCTTCACGAGGCTCCATTCGCCCATCAATACCGACTATTGCTCATCCCCCCGCCCGTCCTGAGAAAGCACACGCTCCGCCCTCCAAACGTGAAGTAGGCTCTGAGTGAGCCGCCCTTCCTCCGCCCATCTCAGGGAGGGAGGGGGAGACAGGCGTGCGCCTTGATAGTGGTAGAAATAAACTTTTATTCATCATGGAGATACAGCACGTTCAGCTGCATGTGTTGGACCCGGAATCAGACGAGGACTTTGAGGAGCACGAAGCTCAAGCACCGCGTCGACATCAACTGAACATTACTGATTGGTAAAGTTTTAATAAACACTAGTAGATAAACTTATTATATCGTGTTCACTGCAGTGTAGAACAATGAGCTTATGCTGTCGCTTTTGTTTAGGTGTTCATGTGGGAACTGTCAGACGATGTGGGGTGGAGGCGGTGGGGACGGGCAGGTGCGAAGCTCTTTCTGCTACATCAAACGTGTCATAGGTGTATCTGCTGCGTCATCGTTGTAGCAGCTTTAGTTCTTTGTCACGTGGGAGAGTAGCAGAAATACGCTGCAATTAAAAAAAAAAAAAAGAAAAAACGCCAAACCAATCTAAAAACCACTTGGGTGAAAAAAAACAAGGCCCACACTAGGGATGGGCATGATTAATCGATTAATCGATAATTGATCATTAAGAATTTCATCAATTACGTTAATTTTAATCGACAAACCGAATGTAGGTTGCTGTGCATAGCGTGACTAAACAGGGGTCCGTACATGTGTCTCTGCATCAGAAGGAGCGAGCAAACAAAAACATTTGGTCAGCCTGCAACGTACTGAAGCACAAATGCGTATTTAACAATGACTTGTACAAGAAATTCCACGCTTTCCGTTGCATTCGGGACAAGTGTGAGTCCATGTGCACAGTGTATAAAGCAGCACATATGTTTTGGTGTCGTGGGAAAAAGTTTTACCAGGTGAGAGTAGCACAATGTCGATGACAAGTCCCCACCTCCCTCCCCCCGTACGCTGTCCTGGTTTTGACAAATGCAAATCTGGTCACACTAACCTGTATTCCACTGAATCATGTCTTTTAATCCGACAGAAATTGAACCGCATCAGCGACACAAGAGCTGTAGTTTTATCTTCACTTAGTTTATGCAAATTAGCGATGCGGTTTTAAGTTTTGTTTCTGTGAGAGTTGAACAAAACTGAATTAAACACATTATAATTTCAAACGGGCTGATGTGGCTCTAGAGTGGTTACAGTTTAAATGTCATAAAGTTGAATTTATTTATGCAGATTAGTAGTGCAGATAGTAATAATAATGATGATCATTTTAATATAAAAACGTTAATGATTAATCGATAATCGATTGTTAATTCTTCCAACAATCGATTAAGAAAATTTCATCGAATGCCCATCCCTAGCCCACACATCACTCTTAGAAGGGAGAAAGCTCTGAAAAGTTGATTTTGCATGAGATGGGCCCTTTAATACAAACATTTTAGAATGAAAGTCCGACAGCAGCAGTTAGAGAGGCGGGGCAACGTTTTCATAAAGAATGTTGGAGCTAAATCGCACCTATGCTCACGTCTTATTTGGAACGCAGCGCCTAGTGAGTTAGCCATGTCCATTTATGTATCGCCTATTTTTGTACACCGAACACTGGCCCTGCTCCGCGTCTGCAGCAGCTCACCTCCTCCTTCTTCTTGGGGTCGGACAGAGGGTTCCTGAACAGAGGAGAGTCTTCGTACGGAGAATAGGCCAGAACACTGAGCTGCTGCTGTAGCAAAGCCTGCTGAGCGGCCGACGCACTGGGGTCGGTAAGGGCTGAAACAGAAGAGAGAACCGTTATTTCATTTATAAAACCTTAATAAAATCTAAAACTACGTATGTAAAGAAAGTCCTGAATTTTCATGTCAAATTACACCTGGACTAAACCCGTGGACTAAACCTGGCGCCCTTACTCCTGGTGTATAGTTAGAGATACAGGCTGTAGTTTGTGCTGTGAACCCAGAGCTCCACGTACCCACAGGCTGCTGAGGCGCTCCAAAGCCCAGGCTGCTGGCTCCAGCGTTGAACCCGGTCGCTCCGAACGTTCCCATTGTTCCCAGGGTCGTGCCCAGTTTGTTCTGTGTGTTTCCAAAGAGCGATGGCTGTCCTGCCCCCACCACTGAGCAATAACATTAAAATTAGGTAACACTTTTTAGCCTTTGAAAATCTTTACTCATTTACTCTTTAACTTTTGCAAAGCTTCAGAATATGTTTGCCAGTGTGAAGTTTGCATGTTTTCCCTGTGTCTGCGTCTTTCCGGAGTAACCAGAAACAACCGCAGAGATGCCCAGATCTGAGCCAGGACCCAGCTCAGGAGTACCTTGCTGTTGAATACATGTATCACGAATTTCAGACTTCCGATCATCGTGCAATGCATACTGGGAAGGATTTTACAAGAAAGTGAGCATCAAACCTCCATGTTTGTTTTCCCAGTGGGATGCATCTATTGTCAAAGTCGATCTTTTGAAGTCTTTTGAACCACACAGCTATTGTTTCTGGTTCTAATATTGTCATATTTTAGTTTTTAGACATCGTAATTGTGTGGTGTCCTAACAGCGGAAAATGGGCTTCGGAAGTTTGCGAACTTCATAACTGCAAAAGTGAATCAGATGTGTGTGACTGCAAACCTCCATTCAAACTGTTTCTCTTCCCAACGGAATTGAAAAATAGTGAAAGGTGAAGGTGATGGACAGGATTGATCCACAGGAAGAACCGAAAAGGAAACATTTCACTGCCTAAATCATCCCAAGTTTGCAGCGAACATTTTGTATGTGGAGCACCAACAAAACAAAATCCCAATCCCTCAACCTTGTTTACGAATTTAAAAAGTCAAAGTGCGAGCTCAGCCTGTTTGTCTTCTGCACCTCTCGCTTAACAAACGAGATTTTACTTTGATGGTGCTCCACATACAAAATATTCTCTGCAAACTAAGGATAATTTCTTAAGACAGTCAAAGGTTTCCTTTTTGGTCCTTCCTGTGGATCAATCCTGTCCGAAGCCTGTTTTCCGCTGTTAGGATCCAACAACCACACAATTACGATGTCTAAATCCCAGAACTAAAATATGACAATATCAGAACCAGAAACAAAAGTGATATGGTTCAAAAGACTTGAAAAGATCGACTTTGACAATAGACACATCCCACTGGGAAAACAAACATGGAGGTTTGATGCTCACTTTTTTGGAAAATCCTTCCCAGTATGAATTGCGCCATCGCGCAATTCAGACCGGAAGTCTGAGTTTGGTGATGCATGTATTTTTTCCTTCATGTTTTAACTCTTTCCCCCATGAAGACGACATTTGACGACCCCCCCTGTACCCTTAATGACATGTTTTGACACCTCCGCTGTATCATTAAAGACGTGATTTGACGACCTTTAGAAACGGCTCGTTTTTTCACATTTAAACAGAGACTGCGATAGGTAGGGGCCACTACAGCCCACACTAGACTGACCAATAGGATTCAAGGATATGTTTTCGCAGATTTTTTCCGAAGTAGTGACGATGGTAGCTTCCGGAAATAACACAACACAAAACACGTGCAATGGAAAGATCGCGCTGCGGCGCACAGTTTTAGAAATAATGAGGAGCGGACGTATTTTATGGATAAGTTTAGAGAAAGTGACTTTTATAGATTTCAAAGTGATGATGAGGGTGATTATAAAGTGGAAAACAGCAATAGCGACGGACTTACAGAGAGTGAATCTTACGAAGATGAGAATGCCGCTGATGCGTCTGTGTGGAGTCCTGCGATATCCCAACAAACTATCCGGGCTTTATACTCGATTATGAACCAAAATTGCCCTGAAATCACTCGTGGAAGTCTGTTTTCTTTTATGCAATTATGCTCTATGGGTAGAACTAGTAACATATGTATGGGTTGTTCCTAGTAGGCGTCCAGGGGGGAAAGAGTTAAGTTGTACAAACAGACACAGGCAGCACATTCAAACGGTCCTATATTTTGCTAACTTGACTCTAGTGATCTTTATAACTTTGTTACCACTTCAAAAACAAATCTGTTGTTGTGTTTCATTCACACATGTTTGAGTAACCTCTCATTATTTTGGTTCTTATCCAAATTACTCTAATGAAAACATATGGATTTTTTTTTTTTTGTTTGAGAGAAGAACTCCACAAATCCAGGTATGTTTTTGATGGGAAAGTGTCACCACAGAGAGAGAGCAATAGAAGTATTTAGAGGTAAAATTTGGGGGGGGCAGCATAAGGTCAATATTATGATGTATAAACCCGTTGTACCTGCTCCGAAGCCGGTGCCCAGCCCAGTGCCCAGGCCTCCAGTCGCGGGTTTGGTCCCAAAGAGACTTCCTCCAGCCGGGTTTGCGCCAAAGCCTGCAGCACAAAAGCACAAAAGCACGGTTATCCAGAGACACTCCTGATGAAACCTGTGGAGAGGCGGAGTGCGGCGAAACTCACCGAACGTGGATGTGTTTGTACCAGTGCCCAGGGTCAGAGCCGGTTTGCTCCCAAACAGACTGGGGCCGGTGCCAAATGACGGAGCGCTGGTTGTGGTGGTGCCAAAGCCTGCCGTCTTATTCCCAAACAGACTCGGCTGTGAAGGCAACGAGTTCAGCAGTTTACATCAGATCACACGGTAAATACTAATACTGTATGTTAGTAGAGCAATGTGGGCACTTGGAGACATATCAAATATTGGCTTAAATCTTGCTGATGTTATAAGGATTAGACTCTCTATGTTAGACATGTCAAACTCAGGCCCGCGAAATAATTATACCGTATTTTCCGGGCTATTAGACACGCTCTTAAGCCTCCAACACATCAAAAAAACAACTGCGCGCCACAATCGAGAGCACCCTATACACAAATCCACAAACTACAAAGCCGCACCACCAGCACACGCAAACACACAAGGAGCAGACAGCGACCGCACAGAGAAAAACACCCACAGACACACTCATCACTCCACGCCGACAAGGAACGGAACAGAGGAACGAACCGAAAAAGCGAGTGCAATGTGCCACTTCTAGACACAACTGAACAACTGAGTCACAGCGAACACGCCGACAATCCAGCGACAGACAACACCCTCCCTACACGCCACAACTGAACAAAGCCCAGAGTCACCGTGAACGCCACAAAGTCCCACTGACTAGAGATGCGCGGATGGGCTATTTTTTCATCCGCGACACAAAACTCATTATCCACCCGCTGTCCATTTGCACCCAAAGTTTTGACCAATTTTCAAAACTGCTCTCGCCCGCCATCCGCCCATTGATTTAAGATTTTAGAACAATCATATAGCAAACAAACTAAGGAGCCTCCATAAAAATGCAAACTCTATAGCTCATTCATTCCAAAATTCGCTCAAGGTGCATGTTCGCATTCTTAATTGTCCGTAACAAAACGCCGCTCGTTGCTCAGGGTTTAACTCCCTGTTCGGAGCCTCACCGTGAGCGCGTGGGCTCAGTAAACTCGCCCATTTTTTGCTCAAGAATCGTGGCTTTATTTGCCGTGATTCACTAAATAACAGGACAGTTGCTTCTTGATTCGCTCCAGTCGCCTTCCTTCCGTTCATTTCACATGCAGTAAAACATAGACATTCAAGAAGCACGAACCCTTGCTGTCAGGTCCTAACTGAATTTCGGTAACCAACCCTAAATGTGGGTCTAATTTACAGAGCTGATTTATCTGAAAATTATTTTTATGAATTAAACCAGTCACCATAATTGAAAGATCGAAAAGTCATGTCTAATTGTCAAAGATCTGGAAAGAGGAGCCAGACCTCTGTCCATAAAACACTGGTTTGGAGAGAGGAGGTTAGACTCTGGTCTGGGTTCTTTTTTGTGTTTGATGGCAGATTAAAAGCCTGTATTTATGTTCATTTACAAATTAACAATAAGATAGGGTGACCAAATATCCGTTTTCCCCGGACATGTCAGTTTTTTGCGTCCTGTTCTGGGCGTCCGAGTTTTTTTGTTTTTTAAGTGATGGAAATGTCCAGGTTTTCATTACGGTTCATTGGGGCCATTAAACTGAGCATCTCTCTTAGTTCTCTGTGACTCAGAAGGAGCGACAGACACAGACAGTCGGTCGGTCTGCAACATGCCGAAATGCAAATGCATATTTAACAATGACTTGTACAAGAAATTCTCCGTTTTCCATCCCGTCCGTAAAGGAGCCCTACAGCGCAGAGTCCCGCACGGCTCCATTTTTGGAGACCTGCAGTACAGGACCGCACCCAGTTCTTTATCAAACTTTTACGCTGCCTACACCATGGACTGAACCAAGACTAAACGAAGACTAACCTAGGACTGATTCCAGGACCGAAGAGGAGGACTAATCCAGGACTGAACTAGGACTAAAACAGGACTAAACCAGAACTGAACCAGGAATCACTGTGGGGACGGGCTCGGAGGTGACCGCAGGAGAAAGGACCGGCTCAGCTCCGCACCTCACGAAGGTAAGCGCGGCTGTCGCCTGATCGCATTTTGTGGACAAACTGCTCGGCGTTCTCTCTCTTAAATCCAAGATTAGTCCTGGTTTAGACCTGGTTTACTGCTGACCCACCCGTGTGTAATTACTACCCGCCCGTAATACGCAATACGCGTTCATGCGCAAAATAAAAGCAGGTAAAATTGCACACAAAAAAATCTGCGAAACAGCGAGACCGTGAAAGATGAACCGCAATATAGCGAGGGACGACTGTAGCTCAATGTCGAGCGCCCACCTCCCACCCCCGATAAGGTGTCCGGGTTTTCACAAACAGAAATATCACCCTACACTAAGAGACATTAAAAATATAAACAGGATCAACCCTTTATCATTTTAAAATAACAAAAATCTCCCCATTATTGCAAAGGAAAATGTACACACGATAAATATTGAAGCCCAAAAATATATTGTTCCAGCTTTCATATATAAAACGATAAATGATTTTTGATAATTGATAGTGACGGGCCTAGCGTTACCCGCGTGTTACTGGTGTGTTACTTGTGAACCTGCATTACCTGCGTGCCCACGCCGCCAAAGCCTGTGTTGGTCCCGAAGAGGCCGGTGGTGGTGCCGAACCCGGAGGTGGTGGTCTGAGTCGCGCCAAACAGACCTCCAGACTGAGTGGGGGCAGTGCTCCCAAACAGGCCCTGAACGGAGCAGAGGGAGAGAACGCACACGTTTGAATCAACAGACACACCTGGACCCTCTGCTTTTAGATCGAAAATGAAGACGTCTTGTGCTTGTGTCTGCTCTGCTTTAGGGTTGTCACTCGGTATGTCTCTAGTCGACCGGGAATTTATTTAGATGATTACAGCCGTTGATTTTGATACTAAAAGAATACCCGATACAGATTTTGACCAAAACTAAGTATCATTGTAAAAGTGTGACAAAAAATATGAGTAGTTTTAGTATTGATTTTTGAGTATTCCACTTTGATTTTTAACATATTTGACAATCCTAGTCCCATATAAATACTCTATAAATCTAAATAAAATGATTAGATGACAAAATGTTTGGTCGACTACGATACGGATACGCACGGAGGCTTCTGTCCATCCTCTGTGTTGCTCTGTCCATCATTCAGTCCCTCTCCTCAGAACATGTGGAATCTTACTGAGAGAGCTGAACACGAGCTGGACACTGAGGACAGTAGTGAACACAACTGAACATTGGAGGCTCAACTTAAAAAAAAAAAAAACTAGAACCAGCAGCAATAAGTGTTTCTCGAGCCTAATTTTTCTTGGCTCTTTTCCAACAGATGTGATCTAAAAATTGCAGTGGAAACTTCCATGTTTAGTTGTTAATCTATTTCATAGTTTTGTGCAACGCAACCACGAGAGGGCGCCAAAAGTCAGTTTAACAGAACACAGCCTTGACATCAGAAAAGTTTAGAAGTATAGATGCAGTGACGGTTACTTCACTTGGAACATATGGATCGGTTTATGCACAAAAAAATGAATAAATAAACAAATAAATAAGCCTTTTTGCGAGGTCGTTCACATTTCCAATTAAATGCGACTTGTATGTGACTCCAGTGTGAACATTAAACGGCCCAAAATTGTCCCACATGAGCACTGGAGACACGACGACGTCAACCGCAGCGAGCGTGCTGTGTTTACGGAAGTTGTCCAAAAATGGAGGCGAGCATTGAGCACCTGGAGAATTTAAAGTTCCTCTCGTACCGGAGCCAGAACATGAACAACTTACTTGTTTTAAGGAGGAGATTGAGAAGGAGAAGGACGAGGTTTTTGGCCGTGGTGTTTTGTGGGACAGTCCGATGAAAGGAACATGTGGATGTGGAGACGGTTCATTAACATTTTTTCGTATGACGCGAAGAACGTTTGTGTACATTTGTGTCTTGTTGATAACGTGTAGGTGGATGAATGCGCTTTGGCCGTTCAGACTGAAGTCACATGTCAAAAGATCAGATATGTATCGGTTTCAGGACCACATTTCGAAGTGGCCTGGGTCACATTTGAAAAAATCGGATCTGTGTCGTTCAGACTGTCATTAAAAGATCAGATACAGGTCACATGGGGTAAAAAAAAAATCTGATTTGGGTCACTTCAGGCTGCAGTGTGGACGTAATCTAAGAGCCACTGTGGATAATATCTACACTTCCCCATGATCCACCCAACATCTTCCTCCACTGTACTGATGTTTACTCATTGCTGCCGGTGCCAGAAATTAAGAATTTTTTGCGCATACTCTAAATTAGACGTTTATTCATATTACATGAGTTCACGTTGTGTTTTTTCCCCCTCCCTCCATTTAAAATTGCACTGCTCAAGGTTGAGTTTACAAAAAAAAAAAAAAAAAGGCTAATGAAATTTAAGATCTTTGTGAAAAAACAAAGACTTGGACAAAATAATTTAAGACTTTTTAAGGCCTTAATTTAGGAACATGAAATTTAAGACCTTTTTCAGACTTTTAAGACCCTGCGGCTGCCCTGTAAACAAAAGGCGCAGACATTCGGAAATAATCATAACAGCCTAATGAGAATTTAACAGGACGGTGTAGTTGAGTGAAATAGACACTAAAATTCCATGACTTTCCCAGGATTTCCATGACCGCAGGAATGTCTGTGCCCGTACCATGCTGGAGGTGTTGGCCGGTCCCATGGAGGCGGTGTTCCCGAAGGAGAAGCCGGTGCTCTGCGTGGTGGTGGGTTGACCGAAGGGTTTGAAGAGGCTGGCGCTCGGTGCCGGCTGAGGCTGCGGCTGCCCAAACAGAGTCCCCGTGGTGGCGCCGAATCCTCCTGTACCTGCGACCGGAGGGCAAAGGTCAGACACTGGATCTACAACTGCCAGTGTTCATGGAGTCGAGGGATCCACCTATATGGATTTTTCTGAGCCAATGTCAATATCCGATGTTTGGCCCCAGCAGCAGACCAATAACCAATATTTGCTGATACTGATTTATTTAGCTTTAAAAATCCATAGATGTTCATGAATTTATGTTAAGTTGAAGTAATAGTCCAAAATTTACTTTTCTCAGTTGTAAAAATCACAACAAAATGTATTTAACTGGGATATAAAATAATTTGACATTTAACATAAAAACATGCTCGAGTTACATACCGTGGCTTTAAGGAAATCTACTCATCTAGATAGAAAATACAACATATAAGAAGTTTGGTCTGTGAAAGCCTCCCAAATAAAATGATCTAACAGTCTTGAGTGAATACAGTATTTAAATAGTTTTAGTCCTTAATCCCAGGTCGAATCTCAGTGTTTTAACATTTTCTCAACATTACAGTAAAGATCGTTTGCGTACTGGTGCCAAAGGTGGCCTTGTTACCCCCAAAGGAGAAGCTGGTGTTGGGGGCAGAGGCGCCGAACAGCCCAGTGGAGGCGCTGGAGGTGGCGGTGTTTGCCCCAAACAGAGAACCCGCAGCTGGGGCCATGGGGTTGGACGGACCCTTCCTACCGGCCTGGTAATCTTCCATTCGCAGCTCCTAAAAGAACATAGGGACATGAGTAAAACTCATTTTGAGAACATGATTTTTCAATGTATCTGGGACTAAGTTATTTAAAAGTCCAAATAATATCTAAAGGCTCTGTATAAGATTATTGTTATTATGTAGTGAAGGCTTCCAGACAGATGACAGAGACAGATTTCTTCTTTTTTTGAATACAGCAGCTACAACACACAACAGCAACAACATTCAATCTATTTGTTTGTTGTCAAGATGGTAGTTTAAATGCATTGTGCATCCTGTACAGTTCTTTTCTAAATAAAGTACATCCTGTTACTAAATTTAAACATTTTCAATAACAATTACTTACAAATAAACACACACAATAAAGTTACAACAATTGTATTATTTGCCTTGACTGGGATCTAGAATACAGTTCTTCAGTACTTGAATACGTGGACACATTGGAGCTGCAACGACTCATCGATGTAATCGACAACGTCCACTCGGAAAATACGTTGACGGCTGTAAAGTGTCGATGTATCGCCTTTAGAGCCGTGTCTTTAATGAATGTATATCTATATATAATGGGAACAAGCGCACTCTGAACATCTCATCAGCACGACACCGCAGACTGTACGGGCGCAGCACTATAAACCGGGACGAGGGGCTTTGTTACTCACACACACCTGGGATACTGTCCTGAGGAAGACGGACAAATGATGGATTTGTTTCACATTTGCCACAAAAAAACAAACCCAAAACACCAATTCCACGATAACGTTTGGTTTTGGCTCGAGATATGAAAGAGCGAGAAGGGACCAGACTGATCCCTCTGTATAAAAACGAAACAAAACACAGAAACATATCGGTCTGGATTTGCAGGCGAATGTTCTCCTAATGTCAACATTCAAATATAAACCTGGAGTGTTATTTAAAACTGAACATATTTCTCAAATCAAGTGTTTCAAATCCTGTGACCGTGTTCCTTCCTGCTCACTATAAACCATATGCGGCGCGACCTTTGACCTACCTCCAGGGACTTGTTCTCGTACTCCTTCATGGCGGTGATGCACTGGTGTTTGGTGTTGATGCTCGTGGTCACGCCGGCCTTCACCATCGTGTCGCTGCCGGTCGGAGCCTGGACACGACAGAGGGGAAAAGGGTTTTGTGATGAGGCTCCGATCTAAACTAAACGCTCCCGACTTTAGGTAAATGTTAAAAGGATAACAGCTCTCCTCTGTCTCTGCTGCGTTTTCATACTAGAGATACAATACAGATCTGAAACACAGGATTTCTTCTCTGCAACATGAATATAGCAGAGTTGGACCTTTAGAAGAAGAGAAGTTTTCCTTCTGTGTTTGCTCGTTTGTATCCAAGTGTTTATGACCAGTTAGACTCCAAATCTCCTCGACTGTACAGAGATCATTTATCTGACAAATAAAAATACACGAAAACACCTTCATTCTGTTAAGATCATGTTTAAAAGTATCAGACAATCCGTGTGTCATTCGTTCATTCATTTTTCAAAATAAAACCAAAAATAAGAAAACGAAAAACAACTATTTTCTTCATTATTTGTCTAGAACAGTGATTCTCAACCACCGTGCCGCGGCACACTAGTGTGCCGTGAGAGATGATCCAATATCACTTTTTTAAAAATTAAAATTTATTAATTATTACCTGCAAATATTATGTCATTGTCGAGTGTCCCTGTTGTAGTACAGTGTAGTATATAATGACTGGCAGAGTGATCTAATATTCGTCCGGGTGGCGACAGGCAGCTAATTGCCTCGTTCCTTTAAAGCAGAGGTGCTCAATACGTCGATCCCGATCTACCAGTCGATCGCCAAGGTCGTGTGGGTAGATCGCCGTGTCTCGTCTCGGACTCGCGTTTGGACTCGGTCTTGTCTCTCACTCAAGGTCTGACACACAACAAGTGTGATCATATTTCATTACGGCCGCTACTACAGGTGTGCCAGAGCGTGTGGGGCGTCTCAGTGCAGCCTGTGCGCTCATTTGAAACCCGCAGACTCTACGGCGCATCACAAACACACACGCTCCCTATGCACGGCTCGTCTGCAACAGCGTGTGCCCTCGTGTACCAGCGTGCATCACAGGGCAGGTTCAACTTCCTAAACATCCTACCTGTCCATCTGCCTCACGTCAGCACGCCGCCCCTCGCCTTTTCACGCTCTCACCTTCTTGCGTACGGCGAACACAAGCCCCTCCCACAGTGCGGCTGATTAGAAGAGCAAGACGAAAAGTGGAGCAAAAACCAGTCTAAATTTGTGTTCCAGTGTTGGCACAAAACAGGTCTACAGCATAGAGCGGATCTACAGAACAGACCTACTGCCACATTTGGCTGAAGTTTGTCTAACAAAAGTGCACAAATGCATCTGTGTTTGTCACGATGTGCGTTCGGTTTGGTAAATGTGCAGAGGCTGGTAAATATCACTGCAAAACCAGAAAAGAATGCAACTCCAGTTTGGAACTTTAAAAAAACAGGTTTAAAAATCTTCCTTCACTTTTTCCACAGTTTTGTGTAAAGTGCCAGAGGAAGTTCTCTTAAAGAAGAGGTTCTCAAACTGTGGGTGAGGGTCCAAAAAAGGGGCACAGAGTGTTTCAGTGCAGTTTGTTTGGCTTTGTATTAGGTAGATCTTTATGACTTGGTCATTTTGTAAGTAGATTGCATGCTGAAAAAGTGTGAGCACCCCTGCTTTAAAAGAATTAGTAACACGTGCGTGGTGACAGTCATGGAAAAGTTTTTAAAATGGACAAATGCGAACTCCGAAATGGGCCCTGGACAAGATTCTGACCCAGAAGAAGAGCTTTTCAAGCTTAACTGCTATAAAAACTAAAAACAGAGAGAGACTGAGAGCTGTTGATGAAGAGCTTCATGTGTGTCTTTCTTCTATTCCTGCCAGGATATCAGCTTTGTGTTCATCTAAACAGGCGCAGGTCTCACACTGAGTAAGTAGAAATTAATGTAGAAATTATATTGTAATTAAATATACTATATAGTGTCATTTTGTAACATTTTGGTTAGTGGTGTGCCGCAAGATTTTTCCAATGTAAAAAACGTGCCGTGGCTCAAAAAAGGTTGAGAAACACTGGTCTAGAAAAACCAAAATGAAAAAACAGATAACGATTCACTTTTTTCAGTTTTCGATTCTGTGTTTAAATGAAAAATAGTTTCTCCTTTCTGTGACTTAAACTGCGATGCTGGACTGAACCTGATCTAAACTTGGTCTAAATCAGAACTGACCCAGGACTAAACCAAACCGGTCTCAGCCCCGGTCTCAGCCCCGGTCTCAGCCCCGGTCTCAGCCCCGGTCTCAGCCCCGGTCTCAGCCCCGGTCTCAGCCCCGGTCTCAGCCCCGGTCTCAGCCCCGGATCACTCAACAGTTTACGCAGGGGTGCACCTCCTGATGTTTAGCCCTGGTTCAGCCCTGGTTCAGCCCTGGTTCAGCCCTGGTTCAGCCCTGGTTCAGACCTGGTTCAGACCTGGTTCAGTCCTGGTTTAGTCCTGGTTCAGTCCTGGTTTAGTCCTGGTTCAGTCCTGGTTTAGTCCTGGTTTAGCCTGTACACGACGCAAAAGTCTAGCATCGCAATTTAAGTCACGGAAAAGCGAAACAAACATCCGTTTTTTCTAACACAAACTCGAAAACTGAAAAAAAAAAAAATCATTATCTGTTTTTTCATTTTGGTTTTGGAGACAAATAATGAAGAAAATTGTTGTTTTTTCATTTTCTTATTTTTGGTTTTATGTTGAAAAAAGGATGAAACAGATTTCAGACAAATGTGTTTAAATTTTGCTGAACTTCTGGACACAGTTCTCCCTGATGTATTTTACAGCAGCTCTCTACTTTCTGTAATGTTGAACTTTTCTTTGACAGTTGTTTCTTGATTAGTGTAAAATTATAATTTATAGTTACAACATGTATTATCCCACTAAATTACACCAGCATAAGAAAATCACAAAACCTGTCACTTTAACCCATTTCTGTGAGTGAAATGAGTCTGCAATCGAGTCTGTATGTGCATTTTGTAAAGTGACGGTTGTATATTATGAACAGTGAACAGTTGGATATTATGTGGAGTCTTGTGGTTAGTTCATACATTAAACTTGACGGTGGTCCCGGGCTGCTGTGCTGTGGCGTTGAACCCCGAGCCTCCGAACAGAGAGCTGGAGGGACCGAACGGGTTGGACGTAGTGTTGGCGGAACCAAACACGCTGCTCGTGCTTGTGCCAAAACCTGAGACAAAAACAAGATACGAATCAAAAAACCACCAGTACACACACACGTTCTTCATTAGAGTTGTCAAAAGTGTTGAAAATCAGACACTAAACGATAATAAAACTGGTATCGAAACTAGATACTCATTTTACAAAAACCCTCACAAAAACTGTTAATTTTAACTGAGTTAATTGTTTTTACACTCCATGATTCTGTCTCATATAGAGTGTTGCAGAACCACATGGTCACTCGCTGCTGCACAAAACTCAAACCCATCGAATCACTTTTTTAAAAAGCCATAAAAAATATTGGACAAGAAACCACTCTCATTTCACCACTGCACTATTTTAGACAAGTACAATCTGCTTCATTTTAATAATTTTGTTGATTTTAAATATAGATGTTTTTTCTGTAGTTTTGGATGGACTTGCCCCTCCTCCGTTACTGGATTTGATTAAAGTAAAGACCGTCAGAGGGAACTAGGGCCACAACCCGGGGGAACTGTGAGCTCCACACAGATGCACCACATTCAGACAAAGTGTGTTTCAGTCAGAGGCACAAAATTTTGGAACAGTCAGTCACTATCAATAAGAGAAACTCCAACACTGGACACTTTCAAATCCTACTTGAAACAGTGACTAACGGAAAACCAGACCTTAGACACTTTTAGTTTATTGTTGTTTTTCTCTGTAAAATTTCTGGTGTCACCTGCCGAGGGACGACAGATGGAAATTCTTGCTATAATCCATCATATTTCGATGCGTCACTGTTAATGATTGAAATCTGGCTCAAAGCTGACTTAAACTGGACTCCTTTATTTCTCTTTCTGCTTTTAAATGTAAACTGAAGGTAATTTTTAAAGACATGTGTAAATGTTTTACTAATGAAACGAAAGGAGATTTTTAGAGACTGATGTAAATGTTTGTTTTATGTTTTAATGAATGATGTTGAGTGTCTAATTGTTTTAACTCCCCTTCCCCTTCCCTTGGCTGCTTTGGCAAGCCCAGGCCAACACTGTAAATAAGAAGTTGTTCTTAATGTTTTGCCTGGTAAAATAAAGGTTAAATAAATAAATATTTACACTGCAGTGTTGTAGATGTTCATTAATTTAATATGCTATCCCTATTCAATAAATAAATAAATTTGAATGGGTATCGCTACAAAAAAAAGGTCCCATTCTCAGGACAGGAATGAACCTTTCCTGAATAGTTTTAGAATGATCTTGAGCTGTATCAGAACAAGTATAAGAGCACACAGACTAGTGTACGTCCATGGACCACTGTGGAACCTACCTGCAGCACTGAGGGATTACACAGAATACAAGGAATACTAAGGAATAAGCTTGATACTCTATACCAGGGTTCTTCAACATTTTTCAGGCTAGGGACAACCAAACAGATGGAGAGCTGGAGCAGGGACCCCCTACTATACATATGTCATACAGTTGTGTTTTATAATAAATTGGGCCTAATGTCGTGTATAAACAGCTACTCTATTATTGTACGTTCAACACTAGGCGGGTGTTTCATCAAATTTGTTTAACAAGTCCAGGCTTATCCTGAAATCCTGAGCTGAAACTCGCTCCATCTCCAGTTTATGCCTCAAGTCGTTCCATGACAGAGAAGGCCAGGGCAATGGAGCAATGACATCACGGAAAATGGGCTCAAAGTGTGACTTTTTTTAACGATCTGACTAAACGAGAGAGGAGCCACAGCGCGCACGGACAAGAGTTTGATTTGGGCCGTGGAACTTTTCCGGTCATTCTGATCTGAGGAGCGAGAGGAAAGAAGAAGAAGAAGAGGAAGAAGAGGAAAAAGAGGAAGAAGAAGAAGAAGAGGAAGAGGAGGAAGAAGAGGAAGAAGAAGAAAAATAGGAAGAAGAAGAAGAGGAAGAAGACGACGACGACTCCTCTCCCGGTCGCTCCGTGGACAGAGAGGAAGCTGCCGTGGAGTGTGGAGCCTGGTTAATGCGCTCAGGAATTAAGTTGCCTCAGTTCTCACTCCTTCCCGATGGGCGAGCACACGTGCAAAGCTTAATTTCCGCTGTGTGTAAAAGTGAAGTTGTAACAGAACTCTTCACATGTAGCCTAACAAGAAATGATGAAATCCGTGCCAACGTGTTTTCCGTTTGACAGAGAGCGGAGAGACGAGGGAATGAAGAGAGAGAGAGACAGATGTGATGAAGGAGCAAACTGATAAAACCCACTGAAAACCAGTTCATCCTTCAAAAAAGAAGAAATACAGTGTTTCCCACAGCACTTTATAGTTAAGGCAGCCACCTTGACTACGTCCCTCTGAAACAAAACTACAGCCGTTGCACGTAATCCCTCCTCACTTTTTTGATAGCACCGCCTTGCCTAACCAATTTTCTGTGGGAAACATTGAAATATATATATGTATAAAAGTCTAATCAACCAAAAATTTTGTGATCCCCCCTGCAGTTCCTTCACAACCCCCCTGTTGAAGACCTCTGCTCTGTACTGATTCTGATACTAAGATGGTAATTTAAAAAAAACTCTTAGGATGTGATTTTCAACATTAAATTGCAATACTTCCTTGTATATTACCATGTGGTCTTATATCTGTGTAATATCTCAGTCGTCCAGTTCAAAGGAGTGTCTAGTTCCGCTACTAGTTTTACTATTGATTAGTTTCTGATTTTCAATACTGTCGACTCTTCTGAGTTCATTTATAAATGTGTAAAATCGCAGACTCACTGCCGAAGGAAGTGGGTTTGTTGGCTCCAAACGCATTGTTGTTGGTCGAGAAGAGGCCTCCGGTGGTGCCCGTGTTGGTGCTCCCGAACAGGCTGGTGGAGGTGCCCGTGTTGGCCCCGAAGCCGAAGCCGGAGCTGGTGGAGGAGGTGGCGGGCTGGCTGAAGGTGGTGGAGCCGAACAGACCTCCTGTAAAAGTCCACAGGCTCATGTTAACATAGAGCAGAAGAACCACAGACGGATATCCCAGAGTCGGCAAAGCTCAACATCAAGCTTCCGTTGTGGATCTGTTGAAACTTCACAATGACATCACACTGGGGGATTCTACATGTATCACTATTAGCGAAATTTTCAGCAGTTAACGGATCGACACACACTTAACTGTTTCTACATTTCTTCACAAACCGACACTTGACTGGTGTAAAATTATGATGAACAGTTACCAACAATAAATCCCACACAACCAAGTTAGAATTTTAAAAACATGAATGGGTGAAAGTGCTTTATTGTTTTATTGTACGTTTTTCAATCCGATTCACAGTTTCATTTAGAATTATGCGTTTATACTTGAGTATATTGTGTTTGCGACAAAGTAGTCACTATATTTAGGATGCGACTGAGGCACTGACCAGGTTTATTTTGCGCGGAGCCGAACAGCCCTCCGGTGTTGGTTGTTGCTCCAAAAGCCGACGTCCCAAAGCCTCCGGTCGCCCCAAAGCCTGTGTCTGAAACAGAGAAAGATCGAACAGCTTCAGTCAAGTACGGAGCCGAAATGTGTCCAGATCTGGGCCTGGGTTGGGCCTGAACAATCTGGGAAAACTGTGACTCTTCTGACAAACATTTCAACTGTGATTACATTTGCTATTTCAAGTTTTAATAATAGGATTCTCTTCAGAGCTCATGACCAGGGGAACTGCAATTATAATTACCGTATTTTCCATTTTTCATTAAATGGTCTATTTTCAAACTTTTTTCACAAATAAACCGTGTGGGACTTTAAAGAAAACCCAACAGTGTGATGGGTGAGTGGTTTTGTTTGTTTGTTCGTTCACGGTGACTCTGGGCTTTGTTCAGTTGTGGCGTGTAGGGAGGGTGCTGTCTGGGACCAATGGATTGTTGGCGTGTTCACAGTGACTCAGTTGTTCAGTTGTGTCTAGAAGTGGCACATTGCACTCGCTTTTTCTGTTCGTACCTCTGTTCCGTTCCTCGTCGGCGTGGAGTGATGAGTGTGTCTGTGGGTGTGTTTCGCTGTGCGGTCGCTGTCTGCTCCGTGTGTGTTTGTGTGTTCTGTGGGTGGTGCGGTTTTGTAGTTTACTGAAGTCGTGCTGGGACAGCCGAGTGGATTCGTGTATAGGGCGCTCTGGATTGTGGGGCGCACATTCATTTTTTGAGGTGTTGGAGGCTTTTGAGCGCAACCTATAGCCCAGAAAATATGGTATAATTTTTTCGTGGGCCTGAGTTTGACATGTCTAATATAGAGAGTCTAAGCCTTATAACATGTTCACACGAACTATCGGCCCTTATCGGCAAGATTTAAGCCAATATTTATACTGTCTCCAAGTGTCCATATCGGCCTGGCCCGACTGGTAACTGTACTCGGCCGTACCCACATTGCTCTACTAACATACAGTATTAGTATTTACCGTGTGATCTGATGTAAACAGTTGACCTCGTTGCCTTCACAGCCGAGTCTGTTTGGGAATAAGACGGCAGGCTTTGGCACCACCACGACCTGTCATCTGTGTTTGTGTGTCTGCGTGTTCTGTGGGTGGTGCGGCTTTGTAGTTTACTGAAGTCGTGCTGGGACACCCGAGTGGATTGGTGTATAGGGTGCTCTGGATTGTGGGGCGCACGGTCGTTTTTTGATGGGGTTGGAGGCTTAAGAGCACATCTAATAGCCCGGAAAATACAGTAAAAGTCGTCAAACTACCGGGTTAAACAGGATAATTTGTTAAGGTAGTTCAAAAATTTTACTCTTTCTGATTTGCTAATTGTTTCCATTTCAAGTGCAATTTCGATTAAACTGATTATTCTTGCAGCTCTATCCAGGATCCTGGTCCAGACAGAATCCTGAACCTCCACTGCAATATTCCCACACACATTCAGTAATACATTTGAGACTCACTCTGCTGTCCAAAGGTGGAGGAGGTGCCGAAGCCCCCGGTGGTGCCTCCTCCAAACGGAGTCCCAAACGACTTGTTGAACATCTTCCCTCCTGCTCATGCACCTCCTAAAAACAGAAATATCACAAACGTGTTAAACAGAACTGACAACCAGAGTCAGGTGGAACTCAGTTACATTTTTTGAGTACTTTTCTAAGAGCATACTTTTACTTGTAGTAACAGTATTATTTATTTTATTGTATTTCTTTTTATTTATTTATTTATTATAATTACTTGAACTGTTTGCATCAGTTTGCTTTCCATTTGCTATTTTTATGCTTTTTGTATTGTTCATTGCTGCTTGTACTTTGTAAACTGTGTTTTAAAAAGTGCTTTATACATTTACTACTACTACTTTCACTTTTTTGTTCAAGTTTTGGTTTGGTTACTCTTCCCACTGTGAGTAAGTTTACAAGTGTGTTGAAAATATGAAATGATCTGAACATTTGTTCAAATCATTTGTAGTTGTTGTAGTTGACTGTATCATTAGAAGTAATTATTGATAAATCGCAATATATCATCCATTGATCTAGTATTGGGATGTATCGGGATATATTGAATCGTGACATGTGAATCATGATATGTATCATATCGTTAGACTAAAGGCAGAATACCAAATGATGACTCCAAAGCAAAACTTTAGTGTGCTTGAGCTACCTCTAAATATTAACCAATCAGGCTGATATTTTACATGGAACATTTTTGTCATGGGTTAGACTCAAATACAACATCGGGAGGAAAGAAATTTGAAACATTTATGATTAAGTGGACCACCCTTATGTCACAGCTACATTAAAAAGAGGATAAAAACAGCCATGGGTTATTTTTTTCAAGTATTTTGGGGTAAAACCGAGACTAGGACGTGATGTTTACTGGTTAATGTGACCCGCCGCCACACGTGGGTCTCCCCCCCAAACTGAACCGAAGACCTTTGTGAAAAAAATAAGACTTGGACAACATAATTTAAGACTTTTTAAGACTTTTAAGACCTCGCAGCTACTCTGTATGTACTAGAGGTGTAAGAAAAAAATCGATTCAGTGATATATCGTGATACTTCATTGCACAATTCTCGAATCGATTCAAAATGCATCCGAATCAATTTTTTAAATAATATTTTTTCACAAAAATTCATTAATTGCATTCACTGTTTTCATGATTATAAAAAAAACCAAAACATTATATTTCATACAATTGTGTTGTAGGTGTAGTTGACTGTATTATTAGAAGTAATTATTGATAAATCGCAATATATCATCCATTGATTTAGTATCGGGATGTATCGGGATAAGGTGAATCGTGATATACTGAATCATGATATGTATCGTATTGTTAGACTAAAGGCAATGCACACCACTAGTATTTACCTTTTATAAGAATGTGTCATCATTTAATACACTGTGAATGCCAAATGACGACTCCAAAGCAAAACTTTACCTCTAAATATTAACCAATCAGGCTGATATTTTACATGGAACATTTTTGTCATGGGTTAGACTCAAATACAACATCGGGAGGAAAGAAATTTGAAACATTTATGATTAAGTGGACCACCCTAATGTCGCAGCTACATTAAAAAGAGGATAAAAACAGCCATGGGTTATTTTTTTTCAAGTATTTTGGGGTAAAACTGAAACTAGGACGTGATGTTTACTGGTTAACGTGACCCTCCGCCACACGTGGGTCTCCCCCCCAAACCGAACCTGACAGTCTCCGGGATAAAAACACCGGGTCCGGGCTGACCGTACGGGTATGAGCGCTTCTGCTTCTCAGGATGTTTCGGTACGAGAGCTGAAACTTGTTTGTCGAGATCTGCTTTTACAAAAGTGAAAACATCCGTAGCTTTTAGCATTAGCTTCATTAGACAACATCCCCCGACACAAGCGAAATAAAACCAAAACTAAAACAGCACACGTGCCAACATTACGCACGAGTAAAACTATAAAGAGACGTGTTTATATTCTCACCTAATCACGTGTTGTTGAAGTTATAAGCGGCTTCTCTGCTAAGTTACCAACTAGCATCGCGGGCTAGACCCAAACCTTGTACCGTGTCGCTCAGAAACGGGACTAAATGCGTGGCGTGCGGGTTTACCTGGTGTCTCACGTTGCCCGGAGTGTCGCAGTGTTTCGGGGAGTTTTTTTATTCGAGTCTGGAAAAACTGCGGCGCCGATGATAAGGTTTTATCTTCAGACGCACACTTAGCGCGTTAGCTTTAGCCGCTTAGCTCATCGCCGCCGCGGAGGGAAAACTGACGGACGAAAAGAGACTTACGCTCATTCAAACGTCATCACGCACATTGCACACACGGCCGATTGTTTTTTTTTTTTTTTTTTTTTTGTTGTTTTTTTTTAATACAAACAAATACGCCACCTTATAAAAGTAAAACGGAACTGAAAATAAACTAAATGTATAAAATGTATATAAAATATTTACATATAAACATAACTTGTAAAGCGTGCCGGAATGGAGGCAGCGGGAGGCTAAAGTGAAGAGAAACAATGTGATTTTTTTGTTTTTTTTTTTTTTAAAATAACAATAAAGTAAATAAAATAAAACAATAAAATAAATACACACAATGCAATGTTAATACAACAAAATATAACGCAAGAGGTCTTATGCATCTGACTGCATAAAATAATTTATTATAACGGCTTGTTTAGATTTAATGTGACGTAAGGATCTCTTAAATTGCAAAAAATCATGACGATATACATTAAACAAGGGTTTTATATTTGAGATTTGCATTTATGAATAAATTGTCTGGCTAGTAATAAACAAGAATTATAGAACAGTTCCTTTTTATTGTCTAGCAAAATGACTCCATATTTTATATCTTTATAAGTTACATTTGGTAAATCTGTGTCATATTCCACCATCCACAGTTTGAATGAGTTCCAAAACGTTCTAATATGGTTACAATAACAGAACAAATGTTCAACAGTTTCTATTTCATTGTTACAAAATGTGCAGGTTTTGGACTCCATATTAAAACGTTTTTTCAAGAATTCATTACAGGGGTAACTATCATTTAAAATTTTAAAGTGAATTTCTTTGGCTTTAGGGGAGATTGGAAATGAGAGATAATTTGTTCAAATTTTTGTATGATATTAACTGGAAAGTCTTTAAGTATATTAATTCATTTTAATGGGAGAGGACACAATTTGGTAGTAATAATGTTCCTTATTACTTTATTTGAGCAGTTTTTGTCTTTAAATTCAAATTCATCTATGGTGAGTAAAGGGAATTTTGGTGTAATTTTATCATATGTCAACATACCACTAACTAGATTTAATAATTCTAATGGGAGAGCTTTGATGACTGTATTATATTTCCGTTTTGAGCATTGTAAATCATATTTCTTCATAAGAGCGGGAGGCAAAAGTGAAGCGAAACATAATGTGATTTTTTTTTATTTATTTTTTTTAATACAAAGAAATACGCCACCTTTTAAAAGTAAAACGGAACTGAAAATAAACTAAATGTGTAAAATATATATATTTTTAAAAAATCATATAAACATAACTTGTAAACAATTCCGGAATGGAGGTAGCGGGAGGCAAAAGTGAAGCGAAACGTAATGTGATTTTTTTTAATTTTTTTTTTTATACATATTTTTTATTGTAAATACAAACAAATATGGCACCTTATGAAAGTAAAACAGAACTGAAAATAAACTAAATATAGAAAATGTATATTAAAAAAAATTCATATAAACATATGAGGCAAAAGTGAAATGAAACATAATGTGAATTTTTTTATTTAATTTTTTTTTTACTTTTTATTTATTTAGTTTTTCAAGTATTGTGAAACAAACAAAATACAAAACCTGGGGTACTGTTCCACTGTTATAAGGATATAGAAGTCAAGTCTCTTTTTCTTTATATTTCAACCATTTTGTGCAGCGTTTAATGAAGAAATGTCCTTTGAGACGTAGAAAAAAGTTAGTCGTTCTGTGGAGTATATTTCTTCTATAATGTCGAGCTGCTGGTTCACTGACGGTGGGTCCTTTTTAAGCCACCTTCTTGTTATTGCTTTTTTTGATGCCAAAGTCAGTATCTTAAAAAGGAATCTGTCCGCTTTTTTCGATCACCTCTCCAGGCAGAAGGCCGCACAAAAATATCTTCGGGTCCTTGGGGACAACATAAGTCAAGATCGCATCTATTTTTTCCATCACATTGTTCCAGAACGATTTTAATTTTGTACATGTCCAAAAAATCTGAGAGTGACTGGCGTTTGAGCGGCCACACTGTTTCCAACAATGAGAATCAAACCCTTGTGCTCTAGCAGGAATTTGAGGAGTAATAAAGATAGTGCTGTCATGTAATTAAAAAAATTGAGAGATTAATTAATTATGATCTGTAATTAATTAATCTAATTAATCTCTTTTTAATCTCACCTAAAAATTGCTGAGAAAAGCCTTCAATTTGAGGTATTTTCATTTAAATTCATTATTACATTATTGTGGCAGATCAAAAGACTGATATAGAACAAAAAATGTGACTTTACAAAGTCATTTATTGTTTAACAAATCTCTCCAAATTGTCTGTTGAGCCCAAGTCTCCATGAATAAGAAACTGTTTGCTGTAAAGTAGCAAAGACGAGGAAATCTGAACATAATAACTTTTGTCTACTTAAAGACAATAAAAAGTCCAGTCTTTCCTTAACCATATTAAAAATATTATTGATAGAGAAATGCTTTATATATGAGATCACTGGTTTTAGTCCTGGTTTAGACCTGGTTTAGACCTACTTTAGTCCTAGTTTAGTCCTGGAATGGATTAATCCTGGTTTTAGTCCTGGTGTTAGTTCTGGTTTAGTCCTGGTTTAGTCCTGGTTTAGACCTGGTTTTAGTTCTGGTTTTAGTTCTGGTTTAGTCCTGGTTTAGTCCTGGTTTAGACCTGGTTTAGACCTGGTTTTAGTCCTGGTTTAGTCCTGGTTTAGACCTGGTTTAGACCTGGTTTAGTTCTGGTTTAGTCCTGGTTTAGACCTGGTTTAGACCTGGTTTTAGTTCTGGTTTAGTCCTGGTTTAGTCCTGGTTTAGACCTGGTTTAGACCTGGTTTAGTCCTGGTTTAGTCCTGGTTTAGACCTGGTTTAGTCCTGGTTTAGTCCTGGTTTTAGTCTTGGTGTTAGTTCTGGTTTAGAGGCGCACAGGAGGAAGTGTGGTTTACGCAGCGTACGCGAGAAAACGTACGCGGCTCACGGGAGCACGTCGGTGTCCACGCAGTAACTACGGAAAGAAACGTGGTCCGCGCGTTCTCAGGTTAATGACGATGATGAAGGTGTGTGTTTGTGTGTGTTTGTGTGTATTTGTGTTTGTTTGTGTGTGTGTGTTTGTTTGTGTGTGTTTGTGTGTTTGTGTGTGTGTGTGTGTGTTTGTGTTTGTGTGCGTGTGTGTGTGTGTTTGTGTTTGTGTGTTTGTGTGTGTTTGTGTGTGTGTGTTTTTTGTGTGTGTTTGTGTGTTTGTTTCTGTGTGTGTTTGTTTGTGTGTGTTTGTGTGTGTTTGTGTGCGTGTGTGTGTGTGTTTGTGTGTGTTTGTGTTTGTGTGTTTGTGTGTGTTTGTGTTGTGTTGTTTGTTGTGTGTTTGTGTGTGTTTGTGTGTGTTTGTGTTTGTGTGTGTTTGTGTGTGTTTGTGTGTATTTGTTTGTGTGTGTTTGTTTGTGTGTGTTTGTTTGTGTGTGTTTGTGTGTGTTTGTGTGCGTATGTGTGTTTGTGTTTGTGTGTGTGTCCCCTCATGTGGCAGGTCACTATAGGACAGTAGTGCAGATATTATGAGTCTATGCAGGTTGTTTTCACCAGTGACATTTAAGTTGTAGGTGATTTTATATTTGTTATTTTCTTTTATATTTCACGTCGGGAGAATAATTTCCAAGACACGAATGTGTTTTTCCCTGTGCACTGCTGCCTCTGTTCTACTGGCTCTTCCACCTCGTCCATTGTGTGACTGACGCCGCCAACGTGAACATGACGTTTACATCGCTCTTACTGCGTGCGTTTTGTGTGGGTTTCCGGCAATGAGTGGAATTACCGAAATAAAAAAAAATTATAAATGTGTTTTTTTGTGTGTGTGTAAAACAGATTTTATAATAAAGCAACTCGCATACAGAAACAGTAAAGTTAGAGATTAAAAATGAGATTAATGCGATTAAAAAACATAACGCGCTAAATATGACTGTAATTAATTAATCGCAATTAACGCGACAATGTGACACCCCTAAATAAAGAATTGTGTAAAACACTTCCACCCGAATTCCCTTCAACTTTTGGAGCTAGTTGTTGTTTGTTGTGTACTGAAACATAATGTGATTTAATGGAAAAGCTGGGATTAATTTCAGAATTAGACTGAGACAAGACTTAGACAAACTTTAATGATCCACAAGTTTTTATTATTTGGACACAGGAGCTCACTCTTTGCAATATAATACAATAACAAAGAGTTAAAAAAAATATAAATGGTAAATAAATAAATTCTAAATAAGTAGCAAAAAAAAAAAATAGCAGGAGACAGGTGTCAAATATAAATGTAAATGTACAAGTAAAAATAAAATAGAAAGATAAGTAATAAAATATAAAATCTGCTTTATACAAGAGGTTAGAATATCACAAAATATAAAAAAATCAAGGACAATTTGCTCCAAAAAGTCTATTTTGCCTCTTCAAGGATCAGGATGCGAGAAGACGACTTACTGTAAAAAATATCTTTTAAATTTAAGAACACATTCCTGTAGAGTTTGGGCAGTACTCTTTCTTTTCAGAGTACTTTTCTAGCAGCATAATTTTACTTCTACTTGAGTAAGATATTTACTGATAGTACTCTCACTGAAGTAAAGTTTGTGGATACTTGACCAATTCTGACGGTGCCTTTCTACACCACAGGACCTGCTCCAAACCAAGGAGGCTGTGTGGATCTTCACTCAAAGTGGAGAGAAAGGACAATTATAATTCATTAAAGAGTCGATATTACTAGTATTAGTATTTGCCAGAGGTACTCAGGGACCAAGATGTTGTTTTGCAAGTCTCAAGTAAGTCTCAAGTCCAAGTCGTCTGCTTTGAGCTTCAAGTCATTTCAAGTCTTTAAACCAAAAAAGTGCCAAATAGAGTAAAGATTTTTGCTATTTATGTGACTTTTAAGCTCAATTGTACTTAAAAAATCATGGTACATTCATATAAGAGTTGTAGAAATGCTCATTTTTCCTTTTTAAATGTCTTGACAAAACCACACTGGCACATATTCAAGTTGTTTTTATTGTGGATGCAGTGTTCGTTCACACTAATCTGAAAACGACTCCAGAGACGGAACGAACTGGTGCCTCCAGCTTCCACGAATTCATCTGAGTACAGATCTGATCTGACACCGTGTGGACACCTGAAAGCACTGATACTCTGATAGGTCTGTCTCTGATTAATATATATACATACATACATACATACACAGTCCCTGACAAAAGTCTTGTCTCTTATCCATTTTGTAGAAACAAAAGCCTATAACCTGACTTTAAATTAATCGATTGGTTTTAGAAATGTCTCATATGAAGCTAAAACCCTCCCAAATTATGCTCAATATACTAAAATAAATTTGCTTCACTGAAGAAAGATTGATCATTTAATGAACACAGAAAGGTCAGATTTTGGCAAGACAAAAGTTTTGTCGCCTACAGAAAAGTGAACAAATAATTTACTTCAAATACAAAAATATGTTGCATAACTTCATTGAATGAAGTCGTGGTGCTGTGAGATCCAGATTTAATATCTTGTCTGACTTCCATGAGCTTGAAGGACACATCCATGTGGTTCAACAATGATTCATACAATTTGTTGATGAAGTCATCAGGAATAGCAAAGAAAGCGTCTTACATGCCTCCCAGAGTTCATCAAGATTCTTTGGTTTTCCTTCCATGCTTCCTCTTTCATTCTACCCCAGACATGCTCAATGATGTTCATGTCTGGTGACTGGGCTGGTCAGTCCTGGAGCACCTTGATCTTCTTCACCTTGAGAAACTTTGATGTAGAGATAGAAGTATGCGATGAAGCACCATCCTGCTGCAAAATTTGACCCTTTTATGGTTGGGAATGTAAGAGGAACTAATACTTCTTGATATTTTAGGTTATTGATATTTGCCTTCCACCCTGTAAATGTCTCACACACCCCCAGACTGGATGGAACCCCAGACCATGATTTTTCCACCACCAAACTTAACTGTTTTCTGGGTGAATCTTGGATCCATGTGGCTCCAGTAGGTCTCCTGCAATATTTGCGGTGGCTGTGATGTAATTCACCCGAGGATTCATCTGAGAAATCCACCTTCTGCCACTTTTCCAGTGTCCATCCTTTTATCAGGCTGTGGGCCTTGGCAAAAGCCACACGGTTTTTTAATTGCCTTTTGTTTAGTGCTGGTTTCTGTGCACTGATTCGACCATGGAGGCCATTTCCAGACAGAATTCTACAAACTGTTGTGGTTGACACAGGGACTTGAGGTGACCAGGCCTGGTGGAGTCTGCTGCAGTGGAAAAGGGGCCTTGGATTTTTGAATCAACAAACGGTCCTCCCGAGCAGTTGTCTTGCGGGGTCTGCCGGACCTGGGCTTGTCAAAAACATCTCCAGTCATTTCAGATCTTTTTCTTATTCTTTGTACTTGACGCTGAGACACATTGAAGGTGTCACCACCTCAGCAGTGGATCTGGTCTTCAGCCTCTTGATAATTAAGGCTTTGGTCTCAGGGTGGATCTTAGGCATGTTGTCAGAGGTCAAGTTGCAGTTGATGTGAAGGTCTGGTGTGCTGGGTTCTTTTTATACACAAATACTAACTGATTGATCAGTAACTGATCACAGGTGAGGCTGTAATCTAGGATTGGGTGCATCATATGACAAGACGACAAGACTTTTGTCTTGCCAAAATCTGACCTTTCTGTGTTCATTAAATGATCAATCTTTCTTCAGTGAAGCAAATTTATTTTAGTATATTGAGCATAATTTGGGAGGGTTTTAGCTTCATATGAGACATTTCTAAAACCAATCGATTAATTTAAAGTCAGGTTATAGGCTTTTGTTTCTACAAAATGGATAAGAGACAAGACTTTTGTCAGGGACTGTATATGTAGTTTTTTTTTTAAGGAGAAGCATCAAGTCTTCTCAAGTTACAAGCCTCAAGTCTGAGTCCATGTCACGACTTGCAAGTCCCACCTCTGGTATTTGGTATTTTCTGATCTGTTTTATAATGTCATTTCCTCATCACGAACAGACCTGGAGTTGTGTTTTGTTTCATTCATACACGTTTAACACACAAACCCTGTGTATTTAAGCTGAGTTCTTCTCTTAAACTTAGAACACTCTGCTCCACCTGGTGATGTAATGTGGTAATACAGGAAGAGCTCCTCTGTGTTTTTAAACTCTGTACATCTTCACTAGAATCATTTGGGTCATTTCAGCCCTGGAATTTACACTCTCTATTCAACTATAGCTAAAAGGAGCTGTTAAAGGGACAGTTTGGACATAGGGCCTCATTTCCTCGTGATTCAGAGTGTTGGAGACGTGTGGAGACACTTTTTAAAATATTCCATCCAGTCCTTGTATTTGCAGAGGTCACTGGTGTTAGACTAGTGCATGTCAATGGTCATAGTTTATCCTGCCACTAAAAACAGTCTTACCCACTCCACAAAACACCTGAAGTAAATCTATTATTGTGTTTATAAGGGTGTCTGGGCGCTCCCTTAGAGATAGGGTGAGGAGCTCAGTCACACGGGAGCAGCTCGGAGTAGAGCCGCTGCTCCTCCACGTGGAGAAGAGCAGCTGAGGTGGCTCGGGCATCTGTTCCGGATGACTCCTGGGCGCCTCCCTCAGGAGGAGTTCCGGGCATGTCCCACTGGGAGGAGGCCCTGGGGCAGACCTAGGACACGCTGGAGGGACTATATCTCTCGGCTGGCCTGGGAACGTCTCGGGGTCCCCCCCGGAAGAGCTGGAGGACGTGTGTGTGGAGAGGGAAGTCTGGGAGTCCCTTCTCAGACTGCTGCCCCCACGACCCAACCCCGGATAAGCGGAAAAAAAGGAATGGAATGGAATGATTCTATCAACACAGACATTCACATGGACAGTCTGGTGTAATAATAGATGGCTCACTAGGTAATGAGACCCTATGTCCAAAATTCCAAAATGTCCATCAGTTGATATGACATCACGAGGTGGAACAGAGCATTTTGAGCTTTAGAGATGAAGACAGACTAATAACAAAGAGTTACTCAAACATGAGAATGAAACAAAATACAGCTCCAGATGTTTTTGAGTACAGAACATTATAATAGTCTTTAAAGCTCACGAGTCCATTTTGAGAAACACAGGACCTTTAAACTTTGGCCGACCTCTGTAGAGTCATGTGCAGTTTGACAGGGCCGAGCCTGACACGGACGCAGCAGCAGAGGCGCGACAGGAGCAGCGGGCGCAGTTTGGGGTCGCGCAGTCCGTACGTCAGAGCAGAGACGCCGCGCGGAGTCAAGATGACCAGTATATAAACCACCACGAAGAACTTCCCCACCAAGTGCTGCTGCCCCGACTCCTCGACCGTCGTGAAGAGCGTCATGTTCAGCGTCGAGACCAGATTCAGAAACAACTGGAACATGTGCAAGAGCAGCGTCTTCTTTGCTTTATCCGCAGACTCTTTTTGCGAGGAGGCGGCGTGAGCGACCACCATCACGGCCACGAAGGAAGAGGAGATGATGAGGCTGCACGACAGGAATAGGATGTAAGTGAAGACGTCGGAATACACTTTGGATCCGGGGTTGAGCAACATCCCGACGTTGTTGCAGTAGCTGGGCATCAGTAGAGTCGGCAAGTCACGGAACGGGAACCGGAGAAGGAGGACGACGCGGGTTAGGATGTCTGCAAAGCTAAACATCCAGGTTAAGAAGATGCAAATGAAGGTGTTCCTCAGAGTGACAACGGCGGAGTGTCTGAACGGGAAACACACGGCGACGCAGCGCTCCAACGACATGAATATTAACGTGTACGGAGAGATGTAGCTGGTCAGGAAGGAAACCATGGCCAGACAGCCGCACAGAGGGTACGAGATCCGGATCTGAAAGGAAGCGAGGAGGTACAGAGTCTGGGCCTGAGCGATGAGCACTGTGTCGCCGAGCACCAGGTTGAAGAGCAGGACGTACCGCGGGCACTGGGAGAACGAGGGTTTACTGCGCAGGACTGCGAGGATGGTGCCGTTGATGATGAGGAACAAGCAGCAGGGGGCGGAGGTGGCGCACAGGAAGAAGACCTTGGCTCCGGTCAGGTTTTCAGACGACGAGTTGCTTTGGAAGGAAAACTCCATGATCCACACCTGAGACACAAGTTTACACAATTTAACAACAAGTGACTAAAGTGCTATGAAGGGACGCTTAAATTATCCCGACAGACCCCCACCCCGACATTCCGTCATTCCGACATGCCCGAATTTCAGTACCTTCTATGTCGCCATTCGAACAACCTACTCATAGTCTGGAGCATCACTTTTTTGCCTTGTATACGCCGTGTCTCTAAACCAGGACTAAAACCAGGACTAAACCAGGACTAAACCAGGTCTAAACCAGGACTAAACCAGGACTAAAACCAGGACTAAACCAGGACTAAACCAGGACTAAAATCAAGACTAAAACTCGGTCTAAACCAGGTTTAAACAGGATTAAACCAGGATTAAATCCAGGTCTAAACCAGATCTAAACCAGGTCAAAACCAGGACTAAAATCAGGACTAAAACCAGGTCTAAACCAGGACTAAAACCAGGACTAAACTCAGGTCAATAGCAGGACTAAACTCAGGTCTATAGCAGGTCTAAACTAGGACTAAAACCAAGTCTAAACCAGGACTAAAACCAGGACTAAACTCAGGTCTATAGCAGGTCTAAACCAGGACTAAAATCAGGACTAAAACCAAGTCTAAACCAGGACTAAACCAGGACTAAACCAGGACTAAAACCAGGACTAAAACTAGGACTAAACTCAGGTCTATAGCAGGTCTAAACCAGGACTAAAATCAGGACTAAAACCAGGTCTAAGCCAGGATTTAACCAGGAATAAACTCTTCCCATACACCACCTTCCCACACGCAGAGCGCGACTGAGACGGAGACCATGCCGGGACCAGACTGGGACCAGACAACAACAGTTTTTTTGACTGGCGCCCCCCTGTGGCACCTGATTTTCCCAGTGGAGTCCCATTCAAGTACTAACCAGGCCCGGCCTCTGAGCTTCTGAGATCTGACGGGATCAGACTTTGACGCAATCCAGTCGCCTTCTGCACACAGGACTGTAGAGTTCACACATAAAAATTAGGGCTGGGCAAAAATAAAAAAATTTAATCGCGATTAATCACATGTTATACGCAAAACCAATTAATGAATTAAAAAGTAGAGTATAGCTGCTCTTTTATTGGAAATGTAAATGAAAGAGCCAAACATTTGTTGTGTAAACAGCATTTCTTTCCCAGGGGAACCTCAGAGTCTTCAAGGTGTTCAGGGAAGGCTCAAGAAAAAATATGGAATGGACATTTGTACTACTAATATATTTATTGAATATTTTTTATGCTGTGAGTAATGAACACTACACTAGTAATAATTTCTAGATCAGTGTTATAAACTTGGACTGATATTTCTTAGGAAACAAAGGGTTAATATAATGGAATGGAAATGGACCAATCACATTTTTTCTTCCAATGGTATCTGGGGAAATCAGTGATTCCCCCTGCAGCACTGAACTAAAGAAATAAACTCAGTTCAGAGCCGGTGCCCGCGGCTGAAAACGCGGCTGAGTCCGCAGCCGGAGCCGGAGCCTGCGGCCGGAGCCGGAGCCGGAGCCGCTCGGGCACGTTGCATCTCACGTGGTCAGAAAAAAGTGAAAAAAAGTGTAAAGAAAAGACGTCAAACTTAAAGAAACGCTCGCGGTGGACTTTTTCAAAATAAAAGCCAGTGAGAAACAGACGTTTACAATAAAATAAATAATAAAAACTGCGTTAACGGTGTTAAAATAATTGTCAGCGTTAATGACTTAATTAGTTAATGCAAAGTTAACGCATTAACGTGCCCGGCCCTAATAAAAATTTATTTTGTTTGCAATGTGAACATTTCCTCAAAAAAAAAAAAAGTTATTTATTGCAATTCAAGTCATGCAAATCCAATGACGAGCTTGAAATGGTACAAAAAAAAGGTTAAAAAAACACAAGTCCAAGCTCTGCCAAAACTACCTCAGGAAAAAAAACAAGTTGGTGAGTTTGAAAACCTGGAGAGTCCAGCAGCAGCACAGTGTCCAGACTTAAACCTCATGGAGCTGGTTTCGGAAGAACGGGACAGAAAAGTGTCACACATTTATGGAAACTTCTGCAACAGACTTGGGAAGAACTTTCTGAACAATATTTGATTTCTGTTGTAAAAAGACTGAGCCACGAGTGTGTTCAGCTGTTCTATCTGCAAAAGGTGGACACACACATCAAGCAAAAGTTTAGAATACGTTTTGGTCAACAGTAAAAAAATGGAAAAAGTGTGGTGTTCTAAAACTCTTGACGTGCATTGTACTGTACACATAAAAATGATGACTAAACAGGGAGTTAACACAGAACTAAACCAGGACTAGAACAGGACCAAACCAAGTCTACATCAGGTCTAAATTAGGCACAAACCAGGACTAAACTTAAACACATTTCCACCTGAATTATCATTTCCTCATCTGATTTGTCCAAAAGGCCCAAAGTAAAAAATAAAACAAAATTACAAATCATCACGTTTTGTTTTTTTTTGTAGTAGTAGAAATAGTTGCAAAATACCCCAAATACTTCTCTGATACAGTTTTCGGGAGTATCACTGCTGCTCCCAAATAACAAGTTAATGACAAAAGTTTTCACAATTAAAACTGTTAAACTACGACTTTGGTGTTTTAGCATTAAGATAACATTTTTGCATCGCATTAGACATGGAGTAAAGGATAGTATTTATCATTGAACAAAATAAAAAAATATAGGATTTGGATGGTAATAACAGTAAAACACCAAAAAAAAACAAAAACTGATATATGTTTAACTAAATCATCACAAATGATGACACAATTATAAAGGTAAAAACAGCTGGAAAAGACTACAAAACATCTAAGCCAGATCAAAATCAGGGCCGAATCAGGTCTAAACCAGGTCTAAATCAGGACTGAAACTCATCTAAACTGGGTATGAATCAGGACAGAACCAAAGGACAAAAAAATAAGCGTGTACCAGGACTAAACTAAAAAAACTACCAGGCCAAATCAGATCCTGTACAGACACGGCATCATAACTGGGACTAGAGATAAAAACAAGGACTAAACCAGGACCAAACTGAGTCACCTGATGCCGGACGTACACTGTGCGATATTTTCGGTCGTGTCACTCAGCCTCAGCTTAAACTGTACGAACAAATCTCAGGGTTTAAAAGTTCACAGCTCACGAATCATGTTCTCACACTGTACGAACCGACACTCGGACGCGACCTGCCTGCACACACTGTACACTCACGTAACGACCGGAGATGTTGGTCCGGAAGTAGAAAACCACGGAATTAGAGAACCACAGACACAATGCTGATCCAGGCAAAAAACAGAAGCACTGCCTTGACAATTTGTGCCATTCTCTGCGCAGACAAGCCCAAAAAGAAGAGGCGATGAATCTGATCAAAGAAATGTCTGGGCAGGCGTGGGCAGTACGGGTTGTCAGTTCTTCAGAAGGAACTGGTGGTAAGTAGCATCAAGTTCTTCACCAAACTTGTGTTCTGTGTTGTTGGATTAGCTGCGCCTCCATGTCCTGTGTCCAAAACACTCACCGGCGCCATCGTCCTCCACAGCCTCATATCCTGCTTCCTCTTCTGCCTCCACACATGCTCAGGAAAATCGGCTCGTGGAACGACTTCAACAGTAAAACCCTCACGAGAGGCGACTGGATTTCAAACAGATTTGATTTTCTTGCGACCTACGAATGCCGATCAGGAGCTATAAATCAGTTTTTTTTACCCCATGTTTACGACACGAAGCACGACACACGATGAAGCCAAAACTCGATCCCCAAAACAGTCGCACGAGTGAAAAATCGGCTCAAAAATCGCACAGTGTACACCTGGCTTAAGACCACTTCAATGAAAATTAAGACCAACATTGCACCCGTTATGTGGACGAAAAACACCAGATCCAATTTTAATAATGACCAACCAACTACCAGCATTTTATCTAGAATCTAAGAGCCGCTGTGGATTCGGCCCGATCCCTAAAAGAGTCGCACAAGTGAAAAATCGGCTCAAAAAGGGTCAAAAATCGCACAGTGTACACCCGGCTTGAGGATTAAATCAGGGCTGGACCAGGACCAAACCAGGACTAAAAGAGGAAAAAGTGAAAAGCCTCAGTTCGGAGACTCTGCACAGTGAACCTGAGGAGAAGCAGCGTCAGTATCACCGGCCTCCCTGTCGCCCTCGTCTGAGCTCCCACAATGCACCGCTTTAAATCAGAGGTGTCACGTGACCTCAGACAAAAAAGGACTAGGACTCAGATTAAAATGTTGACATGAGCTGATTAGTTTAAAGTTTGGATTTCACCAAATGTTTTCTCATGTTTAATGTTTTTGAATGTGACAGAGCTGAATATGGGAGACAGTAAAAAGTCCCGCAAAGTCAGAAAGTCAGACGGCCTTGCCACTTGAGGTCCTCCTGGGTGGTATTTGCCCTCATATCAATAAAAGTCTCTCCCACTGTGGTCACCAGCTTCACCACAGACACGTTTTGCACAGAATCCCGCTGTAAACGAGCAGCTTTTGCCCTCATCAGCTGTAAATTTCACTCTTTAGACTGTTTAAACTGGGGCTCAACACGGACTTAAACCTGGATCAGAACAAACCAAGTCTGCATCAGGTCTAACTTGGGTTCAAAATCAGGGATCATTTCCTCCCTGAATTCGATGTGTCCAACAAATGCTCAAATGTGAAGTAGTTTTTAAAGAAAGTGGTAAAAATGTACATTTGTGTTTTTCTCATCAGAGCATCAAAGTGTCGCTCTTAAGTGAAGTTTCCATTTAACAACATCACTCATTCTCATAAACAGGAACCTGCATGTAACGCAATTTTGTTAGGGTTAGGGCCAGACTACGACCACAAAGGCTGCATCAGAAGATTGTCCTTTTAGGAGCCTGAGTGTGAATGAAGAGACAGACAGGAATTTGAAGTTTGGGTGAAGTATATTGAAAATAGTTTAACAGAACAAAACAACAACAAACAAAAATAGAAAATAAAAAACAGTCCAGTTATTTGGTATTTTAGACCAAGTCAATCTCAGTTCAGGTTCTGGGTAACCTGGCTCGCCATCAATTGGTTTCTAGTTGAGTTGAGAATTTCTGCGAAACTGGAGTTCAATCAGTCCATAGAAAAAAAAAACCTTGACCTTTGAATTTTGGGTTGTGATCTTCTCTCCAAACACGGCCCGGTGTGTATGAATGTGTATGGAGGCTCTAAAAGTGGATGTTGTAGGATTCTTAGTTTAAAAGTTTATTGGAATTGTTTGCCGACGGCCAGACCACGCCACAGCCACAGCGGAGCGGAGGAGGAAGTGACACGGTGACCCCGCAACATAAAGGAAGTGGGGGAGATCGGTAAAGCGGAATTGACCCGCAACAATAAAAGTGTCTCAAATGCGGGTTACATGCACACTGTGTGCATGGGCCATGATATGTGTGCGGCACTGAACTAAAACTTAAAACATTACGGCTTTATCAAGCTCAGCTACGTTAATAAGCGTTTTATACTAAATCATTAATTCAGCTGCATCTGCATCAAAATGTGATCGTTATGTCTGAAACATAATAAAAGGCTAATGAATGTTGGTCTATTCATAATAAGTAAGTCTTTATTTATATAGCACTTTTCACAGACATATGTCACAAAGACACTTTACAGAGCATTTTTCATAGATTCATTATTCTTTTGTCTCCAAACCAGCTGTTGGTAACCTACTATTGTAGCCACAGCTGCCCTGGGGCAGACTGACACAAGCTCGGCTGCCATGCCAATTGGTGCCATCGATCCCTCTGACCAGCACCATCACTCACACACACACCACTTTCATACTAGGCAATGTGGGTGAAGTGTCTTGCCTAAGGACACAACAGCAGTTTTTGTGACTGGCGCCTCCTGTGGCTCCTGATTTTCCCAGTGTCTCCATCCAAATATAAACCAGGCCCGGACCTGCTGAGCTTCTGAGATTTGACAGGATCAGACTTTGTCAAGCTGGTATGGCCACGATAATAATGTAATAATCTTACAGTTCTGTTGATGTACAGAACTCGGCCTTCAGCACACACCTCACCACAAACAATGAGACACTGTAAAGAAAAAGGTATGAATGTTTTTATATTTATGTTCTGTTATGTCTCTAGTCAGTTTGTGTGTGTGGGCCTGTTTATGAGTGACACACTGAAAACTGTGTTTTGCCACTTTTCCACCAGCTGTAACCAAACCTTGCTATTTTCTTTTTTGTGTGGTATTGGATGTAACAATCAAGCAGCTGTTTACTCTAATGTTACATGTGAAAGAGGCTCAAATTTCTGTCTTTTTAAAAATGTTTTCTTCTGCGTTACCCTGTGTGTGTAACAAATTGCTCAAATAAAAATCTATGGATGAATGTTGTTTTAACTCACACTTCACTTTACGTTATTCATACATCCACACTGTGGTGCTGAGGCCACAGACGCCGTGGGGCAAACTGACAGAAGTGAGGCTGACAGTTTACACCATCGGCTGCTCCCTCCACCAACGCTCAGGTTGGTGTGACACTTCACTAAAGCCACTGGTTTTCCCAGAGGTTTTCCATCCAAGTACTGACCAGACCCAACCCTGTTTGCTCAAATCACTTTTTAATCTGTTTGTTCATTAAATAATCAAAGAACTAAATCCTAAAGTTCCAGTTTAGTGTCAGATTTGTTTCTCTGGGCTGAGCTTGTTAAAGCACACCAAATTATTATTATTATTATTATTATTATTATTATTTAGAGCTTTTAACCATGTTATAGTTGGTTCCCCTCAGCATTTATACTCTGAGTTATATTTGAAGTGATTGATGTTTATTCTAGATCAATATTGATCCATTTAAAACATCTACATTGTAACATAATGATCCACATCTGTTATGGATTATATCTATATTACAAACAAAAGCACAATATGTCTTCTTTAAGGGGTTTTGCAACTTTAAATTAGTTTGTGCAGTGAGTATAAAGTGTTGATGCCAAAGTTTAAAGTTTAGTTTTTGAAAAGTGAAGTTGGTTTGTCCCAGAGCTCAGGGTGGCGCTGCTCTGGGGCTGCGTCTGGAGGGTTTGTACCTGGAGATTGTGTCTGTGTCTGGGGTTTATGGAGCTTTAATATTTGATGAGGTGAAACTCTGTGCATTTTAGATGAGGTAAAACAAGTCTTTAGGGAACAGACTGAAGAACAAACACATCAGACAAATATAAACTTTCTCAAACAATAAACTTTAATGATGTAACAGCACTGAGCTCCTGCAAACTCAGCCAGGCCCCACAGTTTGGAACCAGGATGAGTCAGCTGAAAAAAAACTTTTAAATCACAAATTATTCCAGACGTCCAAATTTATATTGAGTGTAAGCAGAGGAAAATGAGGCAAAAACAACAAATTGTCAATTTAATATTCAATCTAACTGCTTTGCATTGGGCCGCTCATTGATAATAGCCTGTACTCGCTCTTTTCAGCACTGCCCACTTACTCTGTAGGCTTTTCCTCTGGCAGAAGAAATACTGACCGAGGAGTATAATTATTAGGCCAAAAGACCCATAGAACCACAATTATCCTGGACCAGGGATCACATAGACAGAACAAACATGACACTGGAGAGCAGAGACACCAAAGACGTGTAAAGGTCAGACGACGAGTAAAACAATGAAGCACTTTTTATTGAATGACTTCGATTTGTCAATGGCAACAGTTCCAGGGCCCAGTTATAGGTCATCATCAACTTAAGACATCATCAATTTATTTAAGGGTCTGGTCAAGTGGTAATGGAGGGAAATGGGCAGATTTTTGACATTCAAATGTCTCTTATTCAGAAACTAGAGGGACTATTGAAATAAGTAAAGTATCAGAATGTAGGAAAGAGTTACACTCCAACAGGGTCAAGTTAAACCTGTGATATTCTTTCAAGTTGTTGACAAAAAATTAAAAAACTCATGTCGGTAACAGAGGGAATGAAATATGCAGCACTTTTTGGGCAATAAATCCAAACAGTGATAACTCTTGGTTCTCACTTCCATATCCTTAACAAACTGGTTTGAATATTTGCTTCATATAGTTTTCTACCATATGGTACAAGATTAGGTTGAAAAACCTCTGACTTTTTGACTCATGAGATTTTTTATGAAGAAAGGTCATGGTAACGGAGGGAAAAGTAACGGAGGGAAAATTGTACAAACAAGTAGAAGGTGCAGGATTTTACATCATTTGTCAGTTTTTTTCTTCTGAAATACTTTAATATTACTTCAAAATGAAAGGAAACTATTTCTATAAAATATGTCAGTCCTTCCAAGCAAATTTTTATCATTTTAAATAATTTTTTTTTTTTGAAAAATCCTGTACCTTCATCAACAGTTCAAAGATGGAATAACACAAGATATGATGAAATACATCCATTTATTGACATGATTTGCAGGTCTTTGAAATTTGGGAAATAATTTTTGTTCCATGTTTCATACATGGTCTGTTTAAAACATATGGAACTTTAGAACCAAAAATGTACAGAAAAAAGGTCAACAGTTTCATAAACTAGAGTACATATGTATCTGTTCAATACATTTTTATATCAGATGCATTAACTTGAATTTTTGACCTTGCTGTTTACTTCTGCTTGACTGGGCCCTGAAATAAAGGTTTGAACATGGAAACTAAAAGATATGACAAGTTATTTTCAAACCACAAAGAATACAACACATTTTAAACACGTGATCATTTTACAGTTACAGATTTTATTCTTTTATTCGACAAAAGTCAGTGAAACAGGATCAGGATACAGACTGTGTGCTCTTTGTGTCAGCCCCAAGCCTCTGTTTATGTGTGAGGAGAATCTGGCCTGTCTGTAGACTCAACTTTACAACACCTGTGTGAGGCTGGACATTGAGGTCAGTCAGTCACAGCCTGAACGAGCATTTGCACACTGGTCCTGTCGATATCATTTACATGTGCTTGTTCCTCAGAACCAAACCCTTCACCTGGATCCTTCCTGCCCGGAGCTGCAGCCCACAGCTCAGATGTGTCCCCAGCGCCGGTCTGAGGGCGGGGTCCCGGAGGCCGTACGTCAGAGCACTGAGGCAGCGCGGCATCAGCACCACGCACACATACACCATCACGAACAGGCGGCTACGCAGGCCACAGCACATCACCACCGCCACAAAGACGTACGTGTGCATCACAGACAGGAAATTGAGTCCCAGCTGAAACAGATGCAGGAGTAGAGTGTTTCGGGTCTTCTCCACCTGAGCCTTGTCCTCCGAGGCCAAGCAGGCGATCACCATCACGGCCATGAAGGAAGACAAGATGACCAGCGCAGACGTAGCAAACAGGAAATACGTGTAGACTGTGTTGTACATTGAGGATTTAGGGCCAAATGACATGTTGTCCATACTGCAGAACTCTCGCATCTGCAGGTCCGGAAGCTCGTGAAAGGGAAACTCGAGTATGAGCATGACCCGGATAAAAACGTCTAAACAGCTCACAGACCACATCAGGAGGATGGTGGCGTAGGTGTTTTTCAGCGTGATGATCGTGGGGTGTTTAAGGGGCAAACACACGGCGACAAATCGCTCTAAAGACATGAACATCAACGTGTACGGAGAGATCTGGAAGGACAGGTAGGAGACCAATGTGAGGCTGATGCACAGGGGGTAGGACATCCAGACCGAGTAGGTGGCGAGGAGGTAGAGAGTCTGGGCCTGAGCGATGAGGATGGTGTCACTGAGCACCAGGTTGAAGAGCAGGACATAGCGCGGGCACTGGGAGAACGTGGGTTTACTGCGCAGGACCGAGAGGATAGAGCCGTTGATGAAGAGGAACATGAAGGAAGGCAAGGAAGTCGCCATCGTCAGCAGGAAGCGCGTCGGAAACTCGTCGTACGGGGGCAGAGAAGACGAGTTTGAGCTGCCTTCCATCTGTCAGAGAGACGGAAAAAGAAACGTCACTGCACAGAACAGCACTCTAAAGGGCCGTTCACACCAAAGTGTCAAAGGGTCCAGTTTCTATGTAAAGTCTATGTGGACGCGCGACTAGAGCGTCCTGCGTTTTTGCGGCGCGTCTTCGGCGTCAGCGCAGTGCAAATCTTGCGTCGACGTGACGCGTCTTGAGCGTTTTCACGTCGGCAGTCTAGACGTGCGTCCAAGGCGTCAGCGTCAACCAATCAAGGACAAGTATCCAGTAACACAGCGACGTTATTATCAGGAAGAAAAACCCGAGAACCAGAGCGAGAGACACAAACATGAGCGGAGAATAAATATATACACCACAATCACTGAGCCAATCGCGAGGACTACACCAGGACTAAACTAGGACTAGACCAGGACTAAACAAGGACTAGACTGGCCTTAGACCGTGATTAGCCCGGGACCGGTATTAGACCAGGACTAGACCGGGACTAAACCAGGACTGATCCAGTGTCATTAGCGGAGTATAAATATATATACGCCCCAGTCGTCGACCCGATCTCCTCCGCTGATGTTTTATGTCATAAAAACACTCTATCAGTCTGGTCTGACATTGTTTCGGGAAAAGACCAGGACCGGGCTCTTGTTTCCAGGGCAATGGACACGCGTCAAGTATTTTTCTCCCGTTCGTCCACAGTGTCAAAGACACGCGTCGGGGGCGTCTAAACGCAAATGTAAAGGCTCCAAATAGAGACGTCAAGGAGTTTTTGACGCTTTGGTGTGAACGGCCCTTAAGACTTCACATTGAACAGTTTAATTTAAAAGGGCTGAGGTCCAGTTCCAGCTCAGGGTACCTAAGACGAGTCTTAAAACCAGGGCGGGACAGCTCTGGAACGCTCTGCCACTCCACGTTCGAACAGAGTTTTAAGTCTCGTCTTAAGACCCACTTTTATTCTCTGGCTTTTAATACTGCGTGAGCTGTGTGGTCCTCTGTGTTTTTTTATTTATTTATTTTTATGCATTTTTATTGATTTAATTTATTTATTGGTTTATTTATTTCTATTCTTTGATTTTGTTTTTAAAACAAAGCTATGCACCTTTCTATGAAAAAAGTTCAGGCGAACACCAATCTCTGCCGTTTGGTACAGTTCATGTTTGCATTCATTTTCCAGGTTTAAAATTAAGCATTTATTTAATTTACTGTATTCAAATAAATGTTATTGGTGATTAAATCTAACTTTGTCTGTTTAATTATGCCTCAACTCTGTCTGGTCCATTATGCCCCGAAATGATTCACCCCATGCACTGATTCACCCGACCCCGGTACAGGGGCAGGGTGAATAAAAACATTTTCCCATTTAAATGTTCGTCAGTAAAGACCCGAAGCGATTATTTGAAACTTAGAAGCATTTTTTTTAATGGACAACACACAGCATTACTTATAGTAAAAAAGAAACTCTACTGAAAAATAACTTTTCTGATCCACTGTGCCCCGGTCTCCCCTAAATACTAAACAGCCAGAGGTTTAAAAAAAAAAAAAAAAAGATAAAAGACACAAAACACATGTCCAAAGGAGGAAAAAAGAACAAGATGGTAAAGCTTGAAAACCCGCAGTATCCAGACTTAAACCTCATGGAGCTGGTTTGGGATGAACTGGACAGAAGAGTGAAGCAACCTACAAGTGTCACACATTTATGGAAAATTCTGCAACAGACTTGGGAAGAACTTTCTCAACAATATTTGATTTCTGTTGTAAAAACAACAAGCCACGAGTTTGTTCAGCTGTTCTATCTGCAAAAGGTGGACACTTTCATGGATCAAAAGTTGAGAATATGCTTTAGTCAACAGTAAACAGCAAAAAACTAAAAAAGTGTGGTGTTCTAAAACTTTTAATCAGTAGTGTATGTTCAGTGTTGGGGAGTAACAGATTACATGTACCAGCTTTATGTAATCAGAATACAAATTATGAGTAACTGTATTCAGTTACAGTTACTGTTTCAGTGAGTGGTAATTGGATTACAGTTACTTTGTTGAAATAAATGGATTACATGGTGGTATTTTCCTGTTTTCACATTTTGGGCTAAAACCAGGACTAAACCAGGACTAAACCAAGACTAAACCAGGTCTTAACAATATGACACTAACAGTAGTGTGGACATAATTTAAAGCAGCAGTGATCTCATATAAAAATCGTTTCTCTATCAATAATATTTTTAATATGTTTAAGTAAAGTCTGGGCTTTTTATTTTCCTTTAGCAGATAAAACTTCTCATGTTCAGATCCTCGTCTTTGTTTCTCTACAGTAAAACAAAAATCTGTTCATGGAGACTTGGGCTCAACAGACAATTTGAAGAGAACAAACATGAATTTTCAGGATGTGGCTGGTACATCCATGTAGTTTTAAAAGCACGACAATATCAAGTAATCCAAAGTATTCAGATTACATTACTCACTTTAAGTAATTTAATGGATTCTGTTACAAACTACATTGTGGCATATGTAATCTGTAATCTGTAGGGGAATACATTTTAAAAGTAACCTTCCCAACACTGTGTATATTATGTTTAACATAATTATAATTTGACATACATTGTAGATAAACAAACATGAGAACAGAATATGTGTTTATGTGAAAATCAGAGCAGGCAATACTGACACAAATTTAGTACTTTGACTCTGACTTACAAAATCATACCATCAAAAATTTGCTAAAACAATCCTGTTAATATCTTGGTTGAGTTTTATGTTTTTTAAAGTAAAAGAATTGAATATTAGCCACAAAAAATCAACAATATAATCTTAAACTCTTTATCTAAATGACGATAGGAAAAATAGTTATGCTCACACATCGGCTATTTGGAAGCTCTTCTTTTTTCTTTTAATTCACTATTCCGATTTATCTACAAAGCAATGCACGTGGCTAGCGATTTTATACATTTCACCCAACCAAAGATGAAAGACAGAATGACTGACTTGTGAAATGAAACGAGACTAATGCAAATTTGAAGTTTGAGAAGCGCTGGATAAAGAAAGCTGCTCTTAAACAATGATAAAAGTCATTCAAAACACTTTGTAAAGCCACAATCATCTTCTCCCTCTCGCACAGAAGCACATGTCGTGTTATAGTACCTGACTCGCGCGGCAGATCTCTCAGACTGGAGTTGGAGTCCGGCCGTCCGAGCTCCCACAATGCACAGCTTTAAAACACTTCGGCACAGGTGACCTCACTGCTCATCGCCATTTTGTGTCTGATGTAAGTAGCAACAATGAGGCCTCACGTTTTCACCCTCGTTTTGGAGCAACACTTGGATTTTTAGAGTTCAAACTTTCACTGTGGGTCTGAATAAGAGAATAAAATCTGTGTATATGTTATTAGGTTCTTTTTTCAGAGTTTGTTTTCATACCTGGCAGTTTCATGTGATGTTGCTCAGCTGAGTTAAACAGGTTTTGGCGCTGTCTTCCTACTGGTGGAGGCAGGACGACAGCGCCACCTTCAGTCCCACTTTCATGGCACAGTTTCCCAGGTGTGTGAGAGTAAAAAAGCCCCCTCATCCCGGTTTATCGTCCCGTGGGCACGTTTCTGTATTTCTTTTGCCTCTTTAATCCAACGACGATGTTTGATGCTGCCGTTCCGACATTGACATCTAATTGTCGGAGTGGTGGCATTTCCATTTTTATCAAATGTCCCTGCACTTCGACTTTTTTTTTTCCTTGGTTGGAGTGGCAGCACTTTAGCTTTTTTTTTCAACATTCCGCCATTCCGACACACATGGGAATTACTCCGGCGGCACTCTTTTCGGGACAATATTTTCACGGATTGGCAGTTTAGACCTGTTTTACCTGTTCTCAGCACATGGGAGGAGGCGCGGCCCACGCAGCGTACACAAGAAGACATGGTCCACGCTGTGTATGTGAGAATGCACGGTCCACGTAGCATATGGGAGGAGGGAGGAGGGGTGGTCCACGTGTCGTACGCAAGAAGACATGGTCAACGCGGTGTACGCGAGAATACATAGTCCATGTGGCATACAGGAGGAGGTGTGGTCCACTCGGCATATGGGAGGAGGCGAGGTCAACGTGGCATATGGGAGGAGGGAGGAGGGGTGGTCCACGTGTCGTATGCAAGAAGACATGGTCAACGCGGTGTACGCGAGAATACATAGTCCATGTGGCATACAGGAGGAGGTGTGGTCCACTCGGCATATGGGAGGAGGCGAGGTCAACGTGGCATATGCAAAAAGACAGGGTCCACGTGGCGTACACGAGAAAACACTATCCACATGGCATACGGGAGAATACACAGTCGCAGTCCACGTGGCATACAGGAGAATACGCGGTCACAGTCCATGTGGCATACAGGAGAATATGCAGTCACAGTCCATGTGGCATACAGGAGAATATGCGGTCACAGTCCATGTGGCATACAGGAGAATATGCGGTCACAGTCCATGTGGCATACAGGAGGAGGTACAGTCCACACAGTGTACAGGAGAATACGTGGCCCACATGATATACATTAGGAGGCATGGTCCACGTGGTTTATACAAGACAAAAAAGGTGACACTCCAAACTAGGCTGTCAGAATGGCGACGTAAAAGGTGTTGGAATGAGGGCATGTCAGAATGACAGAATGTCGGGGTGGAGGTCTGTCAGAGTGGCAGTTTGTCAGAATAAAGGTTGTACCCCATGTTTGTTTTCCTCTGTCCCAGTGATGTTTGCTCCATCCCAGTCCCTAATGTGATTCTCTTTTACACTGGTCAGAAACAGCTGATTTGAGTTGTTCTTGTTCTATGTTGTGTTTTGTTGCTCATGTTTTGCCTTCGCTGTTTCCTTTTTCCTTCCTATGTTCCTTTATTTTGTGGACTGAACGCTCTCCCTGTTTCCCTGTATGTCTGATTGCAGGACATGCAGGGTATTATGTGTATAACATTGCATTTATGCACCGGTTCCAAAACAAAGGTGAAACTCTGAGGGCCGTGGGTCCCTGAAGGCATCATTTAGACTCACATTGT